TATATTTTAATATGTATCTTCTGTAGAAATGCATTTTTAATATGTGTATTTATATAATTTTTACAATGTTTATGTATTTTAATTATGCCATAACCAACCTCGAGCCACCAAGATAGGAGGATAACACACAAAATTATTATTATTATTATTATTACTATTATTATTATGGAAATATATTTTAATATGTATCTTCTGTAGAAATGCATTTTTAATATGTGTATTTATATAATTTTTACAATGTTTACGTGTTTTAATTATGCCATAACCAACCTCGAGCCACCAAGATAGCAGGATAACACATAAAATTATTATTATTATTATTACTACTATTATTATTATGGAAATATATTTTAATATGTATCTTCTGTAGAAATGCATTTTTAATATGTGTATTTATATAATTTTTACAATGTTTACGTGTTTTAATTATGCCATAACCAACCTCGAGCCACCAAGATAGGAGGATAACACATAAAATTATTATTATTATTATTATTATTATTATTATTATTATTATTATTACTACTATTATTATTATGGAAATATATTTTAATATGTATCTTCTATAGAAATGCATTTTAAAATGTGTATTTATATAATTTTTACAATGTTTATTTGTTTTAATTAACCTTGAGCTACAAGGAGAGGCAGGTAAGACATAAAATAATTATTATAATAATAATTATTGATATTACTGACCTTGCAATCCGGTTGTTGTCGGTCTTCCTCACGCGCCGGATGGCGGTGATGTTGGCTCTCATCAGGAAGTGCTGGGCCAGGTCTGGAGTCAGAAAGTGTCGCAAAATGAGTCCAAAATGCATTAATGGAATGGAAGATGCGCCCCTACGACAACATGCCAACCCTGTGCTGTACCTGAGATCCCCTTTTCGGTGATGATGAGGTCCGGCTTCACTCGGATCAAGTGCTCACACATCTGCTGGATGAACTCCTCCTCCATCTGCAGGATGCGGGCAAAGTCCTCCTCGCGAGTAATCTCGACGTCAGTCTAAACGAGAGCAGAACAAACGAATCATAATAATATGATGGTATAATTAAACTATATATTAAACTAGCTGTACCCGCCGCCACGCATTGCTGTGGCCAACGTTCCCTCCCTCTTTCTCTTCTTTCTTTCTCTCCTTTCTTCGCTCAGGCTTTCCTTCCTTCTTTCCCTTTCTTTCATTCTTTCTTTCCTTCCTTCTCTCCCTCTTTCCTTCCTTCCCTTATTTTCTTTCTTTCTCCCTTCCTTCTCTACCTCTTTCCTTCTCTCCCTCTTTCTTTCCTTCCTTCCTTCGCTCTGTCTTTCCTTCCTTCCTTCATTTTCTTTCCTTCTCTCCTTCCTCCCTTCTCTACCTCTTTCCTCCCTTCTCTTTCCTTCTCTCCCTCTTTTTCCTTCCTTCCCTTATTTTCTTTCCTTCTCTCCTTCCTCCCTTCCTTCTCTTTCCTTCTCTCCCTCTTTTTCCTTCCTTCCCTTATTTTCTTTCCTTCTCTCCTTCCTCCCTTCTCTACCTCTTTCCTTCCTTCTCTTTCCTTCTCTCCCTCTTTCTTTCCTTCCTTCCTTTCGTCTTTCCTTCCTTCCCTTATTTTCTTTCCTTCTCTCCTTCCTCCCTTCTCTACCTCTTTCCTTCCTTCTCTTTCCTTCTCTCCCTCTTTCTTTCCTTCCTTTCTTTCGTCTTTCCTTCCTTCTCTTATTTTCTTTCCTTCTCTCCTTCCTCCCTTCTCTACCTCATTCCTTCCTTCTTTCTCTTTCCTTCTCTCCCTTTTTCTTTCCCTCCTGCCTTTGTTCCCTCTTTCCTTCCTTTCCTTATTTTCTTTCCTTCTCTCTCTCTTTCCTTCCTTCTTTCTCTCTTTCCTTCTCTCCCTTTCTTTCCTTCTTTCCCTCCTTCGTGTTCCCTCTTTCCTTCTTTTATTTTCTTTCCGTCTCTCCTCCCTCCCTTCTCTACCTCTTCCCTTTCTTCTTTTTCTTTCCTTCTCTCCGTCTTTCCTTCCTTCCTTCATTTTCTTTCCTTCTCTCCTTCCTCCCTTCTCTCCCTCTTTCTTTCCCTCCTTCCTTTGTTCCCTCTTTCCTTCCTTTCCTTATTTTCTTTCCTTCTCTCTCTCTTTCCTTCCTTCTAGCTTTCCTTCCTTCTCTCTTTCCTTCTCTCCCTTTCTTTCCTTCTTTCCCTCCTTCCGTGTTCCCTCTTTCCTTCCTTCCCTTATTTTCTTTCCTTCTCTCCTCCCTCCCTTCTCTACCTCTTCCCTTCCTTCTTTTTCTTTCCTTCTCTCCGTCTTTCCTTCCTTCCTTCATTTTCTTTCCTTCTCTCCCTCCCTTCTCTCCCTCTTTCTTTCCCTCCTTCCTTTGTTCCCTCTTTCCTTCCTTCCCTTATTTTCTTTCCTTCTCTCTCTCTTTCCTTCCTTCTAGCTTTCCTTCCCTCTTTCTCTTTCCTTCTCTCCCTTTCTTTCCTTCTTTCCCTCCTTCGTGTTCCCTCTTCCCCTCTTTTATTTTCTTTCCTTCTCTCCTTCCTCCCTTCCTTCTTTCTCTTTCCTTCTCTCCCTCTTTCCTTCCTTCCTTCATTTTCTTTCCTTCTCTCCTTCCTCCTTCTCTACCTCTTTCCTTTCTTCCCTTTTTCTTTTCCTTCTCTTCTTTCTCTCCTTCTTCCTTTTCTTTTTTCCTTCCTTTTTTTTCTTTTTTTTTTTTCTTTCCTTCCTTCCCTTTTTTTCTTTCCTTCTCTCCTTCTCTACCTCTTTCCTTTCTTCCCCTTTTTCTTTTCCTTCTCTTTCTTTCCTTCCTTCCTTCCTTCCTTCCTTCCTTCCTTCCTTCCTTTCTTTCCTTCCCTCTTTCTTTCTTATTTTCTTTCTCCCCTTCCATCCCTCCCTTTTTTCTGTACTGTCATTTAGTTTTTCACCATTTAGCTTTTTTTGGTGGGGTTTAAAATCCACAGGTTGGGAACCACTGGTGGAAGTGGACACCCCAGCCACAAACACACACATCTTCACTTTTATTATGTGTCTAGATGATGACAATGATAATGATGATGGTGATTAATATTATTGAGGCACAGAATAAACCAGGCCTCGGCAAACAATGGTGGGAGTTGAAGCCCGAAACACCCGGAGGGCCAAAGTTTGCCAAGGCTACCGCAACACACTCTACGTGGGGTTGCCCTTGAAGACCATTCAGAAACTTTAACTGGTCCAGCGAGCGGCAGCCAGATTGCTCACCGGAGCGACATACAGGGAGCACACCTCCCCCTGCTGTGTCAGCTCCACTGGCTGCCGGTTCAGTTCCGAGCACAATTCAAGGTGCTGGTTTTGACCTACAAAACCCTGTACGGTTCCGGTCCAGTGTATCTGTCCGAACGTATCTCCCTCTACGTCCCCCCCCGGAATTTGAGATCATCTGGGGAGGCCCTGCTCTCGACCCCACCGCTATCACAAGTGAGGCTGGTGGGGACGAGGAGCAGGGCCTTCTCAGTGGTGGCCCCTCACCTGTGGAACTCACTCCCGGGGGAAATCAGGGCATCAACATCCCTCCTCGCCTTCAGGAGGAAGGTAAAGATGTGGTTGTGGGACCAGGCCTTTGGGCAATCTGACAACTAGATATGGAAACCAGATGGATAGAACTGAAAGGACTGACAATTGTGGAATTGGAATTTAAACTATGAGATTGTGAAATGCTGACCGTCAATGAGGTTTGTATTGCTTTTATTGGTTTTATGGTTGTTTTTGCCTATAATAATAATAATTGTCGTCTGTTAATTGTTGTTACTACTAGAATTGCTGTCTTGTTAATTGATGTTATTGTCTTTTGCTGTTATGTGATGCGGGGATCGCATTGTGCCTCGCTTTTGTAAGCCGCCCTGAGTCCCCCCCCCCCCCCCCCCCCCCCCCCCCCCCCCCCCCCGGGTGAGAAGGGCGGGGTAGAAGCAACCGAAATAAATAAATAATAAATAAATAAGGCCGAGGGGTCCAGCAAAGAGCGGCCTACCTGACTCTCGCCCTTCTTGTACTCCAGCGAACAGTCCAGCAAGACGATGCGGGGGGTCTTGATGGTGCGGCGCATCCGGGGGTGGGTGATGTCCTTGTTGATCATGACGCCGCGCAGGACGCTGGAATCCTCAATGATCCCGCCGGGAATCTTTCAAGAGGAAACACAAATCCAGGAGCCGTTGAGACTATTGCAAGACGTCAAGACTCTTAAGGTGCGACCTTGGTTGCGTACAATTGACGTCCCTCGAGGAATAATAATACGGAGCCTTCTGCAATCCCTCTCAAGAGATGACAAAATATGATTAAAAATATACTCAAGGATAAGACGACCCAAATATAAGCGGAGGCACCTGATTTTACCACACAAAAAACCTGGGAAAACGTACTGACTCGAGAATAAGCCGAGGGTGGGAAATGCAGCCGCTACAGGTCAATTTCGAAATAAAAATAGATACCAATAAAATTAAATTAATTGAGGCATCAGGAGCTAAAAGGGTTTTGAATAATAAATGTAATAATGATAGAGTAAAATAATGGAAATGCAAAATTAACAGTAATAATAGAGTAACATAACAAATGTAATAATAATAATAGAGTAACATAATAAATGTAATAATAATAATAGAGTAACATAATAAATGTAATAATAATAATAGAGTAAAATAATAAATGTAATAATAATAATAGAGTAACATAATAAATGTAATAATAATAATAGAGTAAAATAATAAATGTAATAATAATAATAGAGTATAATAAATGTAATAAAAATAATAGAGTAACATAATAAATGTAATAATAATAATAGAGTAAAATAATAAATGTAATAATAATAATAGAGTAAAATAATAAAGGTAATAATAATAATAGAGTAAAATAATAAATGTAATAATAATAATAGAGTAAAATAATAAAGGTAATAATAATAATAGAGTAAATAATAAATGTAATAATAATAATAGAGTAAATAATAAAGGTAATAATAATAATAGAGTAAAATAATAAATGTAATAATATTAATAGAGTAAAATAATAAAGGTAATAATAATAATAGAGTAAAATAATAAATGTAATAATAATAATAGAGTAACATAATAAATGTAATAATAATAATAGAGTAAAATAATAAATGTAATAAAAATAATAGAGTAACATAATAAATGTAATAATAATAATAGAGTAAAATAATAAATGTAATAAAAATAATAGAGTAACATAATAAATGTAATAATAATAATAGAGTAAAATAATAAATGTAATAAAAATAATAGAGTAACATAATAAATGTAATAATAATAATAGAGTAAAATAATAAATGTAATAAAAATAATAGAGTAACATAATAAATGTAATAATAATAATAGAGTAAAATAATAAATGTAATAAGAATAATAGAGTAAAATAATAAATGTAATAAGAATAATAGAGTAAAAGAATGGAAATGCAATAACAACAGTAATAATAGAGTAAAATAATAAATGTTATAATCAGAATAATATAGTAAAATAATAAATGCAATAATAATAGAGTAAAATAATAAATGTAATAATAAGAATAATAATAATAGAGTAAAATAATGGAAATGCAAAATTAACAGTAATGAGTAAAATAATAAATGTAATAATAATAGAGTAAAATAATAAATGCAATAATAAGAATAATAATAGAGTAAAATAATGGAAATGCAATAATACCAGTAATAATATCGTAAAATAATAAATTTAGTAACAATAGAGTAAAATAATAAATGTAATAATAATAGAGTAAAATTATAAATGTAATAAAAATAATAACAGAGTAAAATAATAAATGTAATAATAATAAAGTAAAATTATAAATGTAATAAAAATAATAACAGAGGAAAATAATAAATGTAATAAGAATAATAATAGAGTAAAATAATGGAAATGCAATAACAACAGTAATAATAGGGGAAAATAATAAATGTTATCATAAGAATAATATAGTAAAATAATAAATGCAATAATAATAGTCAAATAATAAATGTAATAATAAGAATAATAATAGAGTAAAATAATGGAAATGCAAAATTAACAGTAATGAGTAAAATAATAAATGTAATAATAATAGAGTAAAATAATAAATGCAATAATAAGAATAATAATAGAGTAAAATAATGGAAATGCAATAATACCAGTAATAATATCGTAAAATAATAAATTTAGTAACAATAGAGTAAAATAATAAATGTAATAAGAATAATAATAGAGTAAAATAATGGAAATGCAATAACAACAGTAATAATAGAGGAAAATAATAAATGTAATAATAATATCGTAAAAGAATAAATGTAATAATAATAATATCGTAAAATAATGGAAATGCAATAATAATATCGTAAAATAATAAATGTAATAATAAGAATAATAATAGAGTCAAATATTGGAGATGCAATAATAACAGTAATAATAGTGTAAAATAATATATGTAATAATAATAGAGTAAATAATAAATGCAATAATATGAAGAAGAATAGCGTAACATAATAAATGTAATAATAATGGAGTAAAATAATAAATGCAATAAGAATAATAGAGTAAAAGAATGGAAATGCAATGACAACAGTAATAATAGAGTAAAATAATAAATGCAATAATAATAAGAATAATAGAGTAAAATAATAAATACATTAATAATAAGAATAATACAGTAAAATAATAAATGTAATAATAAGAATAATAATAATGTAAAATAATAAATGCAATAATAATAGAGTAAAATAATAAATGTAATAAAAAGAATAATAGAGTAAAACAATGGAAAAGCAAAATTAACAGTAATAATAGAGTAAAATAATAAATGTGATAAAATGTTTGTATTGCTTTTGTGATGTCTTATACTGTTTAATGTTTTTTATCTATATTATGTTTTATGTATACTGATTTGTTGGAAACCGCCTTGAGTCGCCAATTGGCTGAGAAAGGCGGCATAGAAATACAATAAATAAATAAATGAGTAAAATAATAAATACAATAATAATAATAAAGTAAAATAATAAATGTAATAATACTAGAGTAAAATAATAAATGCAATAAGAAGAATAGAGTAAAATATTAAATGTAATAATAAGAATAAGAATAGAGTAAAAGAATGGAAATGCAATGATAACAGTAATAACAGAGTAAAATAATAAACGTAATAAGAGTAAAATAATAAATGGAATAATAATAAAGTAAAACAATAAATGCAATAATAATAGAGTTAAATAATAAATGTAATAATAATAACAATAATAATAATAATGGAAATGCAATGATAACAGTAATAATACAGTAAAATAATAAATGTTATAATAGAGTAAAATAATAAATGTAATAATAAAAATAATAAAAATAATGGAAATGCAATGATAACAGTAATAATAGAGTAAAATAATAAATGAAATAATAATAGAGTAAAATAATAAATGTAATAATAAGAATAAAAATAGTGTAAAATAATGGAGATGCAATAACAATAATAATAGAGTAAAATAATAAATGTAATAATATGAAGAATAGAATAAAATAATAAATGTAATAATAATAGAGTAAAATAATAAATGTAATAATAAGAATAATAGAGTAAAAGAATGGAGATGCAATAATAACAGTAATAATAAAGTAAAATAATAAATGCAATAATATGAATAGAGTAAAATAATAAATGTAATAATAAAATAATAAATGTAATAAGAATAATAGAGCAAAATAATAGAAATGCAATAACAGTAATAATAGAGTAACATAATAAATGTAATAATAATAGAGTAACATAATAAATGTAATAATAGAATAAAATAATAAATGCAATAATAATTTAAAATAATAAATGTAATAATAATAGAGTAAAATAATATATGTAATAATAAGAATAATAGAGTAAAAGAATGGAAATGCAATGATAACAGTAATAATAGAGTCAAATAATAAATGCAATAATAAGAAGAATAGAGTAAAATAATAAATGTAATAATAAGATAATAATAAATGCAATAATAATAAGAATAATAGAGTAAAATAATGGAGATGCAATAAAAGTAATAATAAAGTAAAATAATGTAATAATAGAGTAAAATAATAAATGCAATAATAATAATGTAAAATAATAAATGTAATAATAATAGAGTAAACTAATGGAAATGCAATGATAACAGTAATAATAGAGTAAAATAATAAATGTAATAATAATAATAATAATAATTGGAAATGCAATGATAACAGTAATAACAGAGTAAAATAATAAATGTAATAATAATAATAATAATAATTGGAAATGCAATGATAACAGTAATAATAGAGTAAAATAATAAATGTAATAATAATAATAATAATAATAATAATAATAATAATAATAGGGTAAAATACTGTAAATGTCGGGAAGGACCTGCCCTCCCTGCGGTACCTTTTCCACTTTGGCGTATTTCTTGATGTCGATCTCCTTCCTGCCGTTCTCCTCGAACTCCACCGTCTTGACCGCGTCGAGGGCGATGCTGCAGGCCAGGCTGGACCAGTGGCTGATGGCCTTGGTGCCGATGGCGCTGTGGATGATCTTGAGCATGGCCTCGCGGTTATTGACGTCGACGGGGGTGCTGCGGACACCAAGGGGCAAAAAATGGGTGATTCCGGGAGAGAATAAAACTTCACCCACAGTCCTCAATTGGCACAGCATACGGCCACACATCGACGGACCAAAATCTATCTGAAAATTATTGAGCTGTGGCAAATCCCCTTCCAGACAATGCCCTCTCATATAGATCTTTCTTAAAAGGCTTTTAACATTTATTTATTTTATGACATTTATATGCCGCCCTTCTCGGGGACTCACAGCAGCTTACAAGCTATATATACTGTCTAAAATTTCAACAGCAAAACAGCAGAGGGAAAACAATCAGGGACATCTACTCACCTCTCAACAAAAGATTCCCCCAGGCACTGCCAGGCCATCAAATGCTAATCAAGGTGGTCAGTTGAGACATTCACACCTAGCTCCAGCAGACAAGAGTCCTTTGTCCCACCCGGGTCATTCCACAGATATATAAACCCATTGTCCTAGTTTCAACAGACCTCACTACCTCTGAGGATGCTTGCCATAGATGCAGGCGAAACGTCAGGAGAGAATGCCTCTAGAACATGGCCATATAGCCCAGAAAAAACTAGAACAACCCAGTGATTCCGACAATACAGGAAACATTCCCACCTAGCTCCAGCAGACAAGAGTCCTTTGTCCCACCCGGGTCATTCCACAGATATATAAACCCATTTTCCTAGTTCCAACAGACAAACAAGGACATCTAAACACCTCTCAACAAAAGATTCCCCCAGGCACTGCCAGGCCATCAAATGCTAATCAAGGTGGTCCGTTGAGACATTCCCACCTAGCTCCAGCAGACAAGATTCCTTTGTCCCACCCGGGTCATTCCACAGATATATAAACCCATTTTCCTAGTTCCAACAAACAAACAAGGACATCTAAACACCTCTCAACAAAAGATTCCCCCAGGCACTGCCAGGCCATCAAATGCTAGGACAAAGGACAAGAGTCCTTTGTCCCACCCGGGTCATTTTTGTACTGTACACCGCCGTGAGTCGCCCGAGTGGGCTGAGAATGGCGGTTAATAAATGCTCCAAATAAATAAATAAATAATAAATAAATGCTAATCAAGGTGGTCAGTTGAAACATTCCCACCTAGCTCCAGCAGACAAGAGTCCTTTGTCCCACCCGGGTCATTCCACAGATATATAAACCCATTTTCCTAGTTCCAACAGACAAACAAGGACATCTAAACACCTCTCAACAAAAGATTCCCCCAGGCACTGCCAGGCCATCAAATGCTAATCAAGGTGGTCCGTTGAGACATTCCCACCTAGCTCCAGCAGACAAGAGTCCTTTGTCCCACCCAGGTCATTCCACAGATATATAAACCCATTTTCCTAGTTTCAATAGACCTCACTACCTCTGAGGATGCTTGCCATAGATGCAGGCGAAACGTCAGGAGAGAATGCCTCGAGAACATGGCCATACAGCCCGAAAAAACCTACTATAACCCAATAATAAATCCTATCTATAAATAATAATAATAAATAAATAATAAATCTCATCTATGGCTGGATATGTTCACTTTGGGGGTCAATCTAAGTTAGAAATGACTTGAAAGTGCACAACAACAACAACAACAAAGGCAGTCTCAGACTGGGGCGCCCCTCTCTTTCCGCCGCTCACCTGATCTTTTTCAGGGCGCTGATCATGTCATCCAAGGCCTTTCTGTAGGCGCTGATGATCACCGTGGGGTGCATCTGCTGCTCCAGGAAATGCTCCGCCACGGACAACATCTCTCCGGCTGGAGAGCAAACCGAAGACAATTATCAGCGGTAATTTATAAATATTATAAATTTATTTATTATTTATTTACGCCATTTATATGCATAGCACAATATCAGTATTCATATTACTATATTGTACTACTACTAATAATAATAATCTTTATTTATACCCCGGCACCATCTCCCCAATGGGGACTCGGAGCGGCTTACATGAAATTGTAATATTAAATATATAATGATAATATTGTGTTATTATTATTATAATATAATACAAAATATTGTATAAAATAAATTATTATATTATATTATATAAAATATTATAAATGTATTTATTTATTTATTTATATTACTATATTGCACTAATAATAATAATAACAATAATAATCTTTATTTATACCCCGCCACCATCTCCCCAATGGGAACTCAAAGCGGCTTACATGAAATTGTAAACTTAAATATATAATGATAATATTGTATTATTATTACATTATAATATTATATAAAATATTGTATGAAATAAATTATAATATTATATATAATATTATAAATTTAAGTATGTATTATTTTATTATTTATTTATATTACTATATTGCACTAATAATAATAATAATAATAATCTTTATTTATACCTCGCCACCATCTCCCCAATGGGGACTTGGAACCAAAAAACACAAACCGAAAACGCGAACAATAAACAACACATCATAATTACATAAAACATGTAAATACATAACAATATAAAATTACTTATACCATTAAATTGTAATATTAAATATATAATTATAATATTGTATTATTTTTAGCATTATAATATAAAATATTGTATAAAATAAATTATAATATTATATAAAATATTATAAATTTATTTATTTATTATTTTATTTATTTACAGCATTTATATGCCGCCTTTCTCACCCCGAAGGGGACTCAGAGCAGCTTACAAGATATATATACATATAATATATTATATTATTAGCATAGTACAATATCAGTATTATATATTACTATATTGTACTATACCATTGTACAATAATATTATTAGTACTATTAAATATAATATAAAATATATAACTGTAATAGAATTATATATTGTAATTATATATAATTGCATGTTATACATAATTATATATTATATTACTTACTTATTAATTTTTATTAATAATTATATATTATACAATTAATTATTATAATTATATTAATTATAATTATTATAATTAATAATTATATATATTATATCTAATTATAGATAAGCCCCCTTATTAAATGTCCCCATCTTACCGAGGATAATGACAGACGTGGTCCCATCTCCCACTTCTTCGTCCTGAGTGCGGCTGATTTCGATCATGGACTTGGCCGCCGGATGCTGGACTTGGATCTGGACGAAAAAAGCAATGAAAATATCACGTACTTTCAATATTATAATTACAAACATGGGAACGCCTACGTTAAACCCAAATTAAATTAAATCCCTATTATTACTATCATTATCCCAAGAAACTTTATTTATATCCATCCGAAATGATGAAGATTCAAGTCAGGGGAATGATGCCTCTCTCTGTGAGAAATCTGACTCGGAAAAGTGCAGAACTTCAAAGTCAGTCGGAGGAGCCAGATACTGCAACATTAGATAAGGAGTCGGGCAAACAGGTAAGTGATACAGAAGGTTCTCAGGAGAAAATACCTGGTGACACGGAGATCAACAAAGGTCTTTGTTTACAGATCACAGCAGAAAATAGGCATTGTGGGTCACAGCCATTACGCGGGAAAGTTGGGGAGAGATTTCGTGGGGGAAAAAAAGATTTCATGGGTGCCTATAAATTGGCAAGTTTTTTTTACCTAAGAGTCAGTCCAGGCAACATAGCGTTCAAGTGAGAAGCTAGGCCTGAGTTCTCTGGTTCTTGATTCAAGCGAAGACTTGGTTTTGGATTTTAGTTTCCTGGAAGTTGTCTATGTTCTTGTCTTTATATTCCTGCTCAAGTTTTACTAAGTATATCTTTTGCTTGTGGACTTATGCTGTACTTGTGACTTTTTGACTATTCCTTGGAATCAGCATGAGACAGGTGGATTACTGTTTGGATATGGGCGGGATAGAAATAGCATAAATAAATAATAATAAATACATATTTTGGATTATACCTCTTATTTTCTTTAATACCTCTACTTCCTTTCCCCCGGTTGGCGCAATGGATTAAACCGCTGAGGTGCTGAGCTCACTGACAAAAAAGTCGGCGGTTCAAATCTGGGGAGTGGGGTGAGCTTCCGCTGTTAGCCCCAACTTCCAAATGTGAGTAGATCACTAGATAACGCTTCGCCAGGAAGGTAACGGCGCTCCATGCAGTCAATGCCAGTGGCCACATGACCTTGGAGGTGTCTACGGACAACGCTGGCTCTTTGGCTTAGAAATGGAGATGAGCCCCTGGGCGGATTACAATGTACACATACACGGCAGGAGGAGCCTGCCAGGAGTGCCATTTGGCTGGCTCAGGGGGTCGGCAGCCATTTTGGAGGGGTGGGGCCAGCCAAGGCGGATTCGCGACCCCCCGAAAATGGCTGAATGACCCTCCCAGGTGTCGCGACCTCCAGGTTGAGAAGCACTGGAGTGGATCAATAGGTAGCACTTCAGCAGGAAGGTAACGGTGCTCCATGCAGTCATGCCAGTGGCCACATGACCTTGGAGGTGTCTACTGACAATGCCGGCTCTTCGGCTTAGAAATGGAGATGAGCCCCAACCCCCTGAGTTGGATAGGAGTAGACTTAATGTCAAGGAGAAACCTTGACCTTAACAAGACAAGCAACTGTATTTATAGCCAGCCGGTATTATTATTATTATTATTATTATTATTTAGAGTAAAAAAGCACTTTAAAGAAATAGGTAAATCCAATTAGGGAAGAAGATAAGCAGGAACAAAATAGTCCAGAGTAATAGTCCAACAAAGTCCATGAAAGCAAGCTTCTCTAATAAAATCCAAGAAACCAGGGAACATGAAGCCAATGTATTGATCTATTTACAGTATTTATATTCCGCCCTACTCACCCCACAAGGGACTCGGGGTGGATTACAATGTACACATACATGACAAACACTCAATGCCATAGACACACAACACATATAGACAGACAGTTAACATTCCAATTTTCTGGCCACGAGGGGAGCAGTCGCTTCCATCTGCGACACTGATGGAGTACTTCCTCATTCTTTTGCTTGCTTGCTGGAGATTTTATGGCATCGTAAATTAGTTAAATTAGCCTCCTCGCATAAGTGGTACCTAATTTTCCTACTTGTCAAATGCAACTGTCTTTCGGGTTGCAAAGGTCAACAACAAGCTACACAAATTGGCCGGAAGCTCACTCCGACCTGGGCTGGCTACGAACTCATGACCTTTTGGTCAATAGTGATCTTGATGCAGTTGTGCCACAGTCCCGTTGTTTCTCAAAAACTTGGACTCAAGGTAATCATGTACTTTAAATACTACAATTAAAAACATGGGAATGTCAACAATAAACCCAAATTAATAATAACCATAAAAAAAACTGAGCCAAACTTACTTCCCTGAGGATCGCGTTGCCATCGTTGGTCATGACAATTCCGCCCATGGGGTCCAACAGCATCTGTATTGGGGATTTTGGGATTATTTCTGTTATTCGTTGTTATATTATTATTATTATTATTATTATTACTACTACTACTACTACTATTATTATTATTAGACTGAAGAGCAAGCAGAATCAAAGCCTAAGGAAGCACAGAAAGCGTTCTCTCACCTTCATCATGGCCCTTGGTCCTAAACATGTTCGGATTATATCGGCAATGGTCTGCAAGGAAAAGAGGGACGTCGTAAAGGAAACAGAATATGCCTAACAACCCAAAGAGTGACCTCTTTGGGTACATTGCTCTTCCTGTCCCATCAACCTCTTGATGGAAAGTACCTTCTCGCACCTGCAGACTTTGCGCTTAACCACAAACCAACTTCCTATGTAAGCTTGAACTTTGTATTCATTTGGGGATTGTAGTTGCTGGGATTTATAGTTCCCCTACAACCAAAGCGCATTCTGAACTTCACTAACGATGGAATTGAACCAAACTTGGCACACAAGACTTCCAAGACCAACAAAAAAGAGTAGAAAGATTTGGTGGGACACTGACCCTCAGTTTGGGAGCTGTAGTTCGCCTACATCCAGAGAGTACTGTGGACTCAAACAATGATGGATCTGGACCAAACTTGGCACGAATGCTCCATTTGCCCAAATATGAACACAGATGGGGTTTGGGGGAAATAGGGTTTCCTCCACCACAGACATCCCAGTGTAAAGATGTCCAAGAGCCCTGCCAATGTCCTCCACCAACACCGGACTGCCCACCACCCAACTGAAGGCTTTCATATGGAGGCAATTCCATCCTAGATGTTACGTGTTTCCTCCACCACAGACATCCCAGTGTAAACATGTCCAAGAGCCCTGCCAATGTCCTCCACAAACACCACACTGCCCACCACCCAACTGAAGGCTTTCATATGGAGAAAATTCCATCCTAGATTTTAGGTGTTTCCTCCACCACAGACATCCCAGTGTAAACATGTCCAAGAGCCCTGCCAATGTCCTCCACCAACACCGGACTGCCCACCACCCAACTGAAGGCTTTCATACGGAGGCAATTCCATCCTAGATGTTACGTGTTTCCTCCACCACAGACATCCCAGTGTTTCTTACTCTCTCCATGACCCCGCCCACAGCCTCTCCAATAACCCTTTCTTATCCTTTTCTATGGCACACAGACAACAGAGGAATTAATCAGCAATTGAACATACTACAGAGGTGTGGGGAGAATTCACTATGATTTATAGACGTTGCAGGTACTGGGATGTATAGTTCACCTGGAACTAACTTGGCATACAGAACCCCCATGACCAACAAAGCATACTGGAGGTATTGTCGAAGGCTTTCATGGCCGAAATCACTGGGTTGTTGTAGGTTTTTTTGGGATATATGGCCATGGTCTAGAGGTCTTTGGAGGGATTTATAGGAGCTATAGTTCACCTACATTCAGAGAGCACCATGAGCCCAAACAATGATGGATCTGGACCAAACTTGGCATGCATACCCAATATGCCCACATTTGAATACTAGTGGAATTTGAGGGGAATTGGCTTGGGCATTTTTGGAGTTGTAGGTACTGGGATGTATAGTTCACCTGCAATCAAGGAGCACTCTGAACTCCACCAAAGATTGAATTGGACCGAACTTGGCACACAGAGCACCCATGGCCAGCAAAAAATCCTGGAGGTCTTTGGGGAAATTTCACCTTGATTTGGGGGAGTTGTAGTTCACCTACATCCAGAGAGCACTGTGAACCCAAACACCAAATGGCACACAGACCTGATATGCTGAAATTTGATTACGGGGGGGGGGGGGGGGGGGGGGGGGGGGGGGGGGAGGGAACTGACCTTCCTTTTTGGGAGTTGTAGTTCACCCAACCAGAGAAATGGTGATCTCCACCCATGATGGACCTGGACCAAATTTGGCACGCAGAACCCCCATGACTAACTCAACCTACTGGAGGGGTTTGAGGGGGTTGACTCACCATAGTGGGAGTTGTAGTTTACCGTATAGCCTGAGAGCAGACTGAACCCCACCAACGACACATCTAGAGCAAACTTGCCCAACATAACAAACTGATGGAATTTCACGGGGTTAACCTGACATGATGGGAGTTGTAGTTATTCCACAATCTTATGCATTTTGTACCATTAAAATTGCTTTTTCAAATAACCCTGGGCAATATCCAGTGACCACGGTAGTAATAACAAGAACAAAGGAAAGCGTACCTTAGCAGCATTAATGTTTCCGGATTGGACTTTTCTTCCAGACTCCCGCTTTGTGTTCTGACCTGTGAGAAAAAGGACAATTGATCTAAAGTCTGATAGCTAAAGTCTGATACTGCTACTCTGGCCAGAGTGAAGACAAAGGGGAGCAGAAGACATTTCCATCTGGTCTTTACTAATAATATAATATAGTATATTGTATATACATATAATATTTATAATATTATAATGTAATGCATTATAATACTAGTAATAAAAATAATACAATATTCTAAGTATAATTATATGTTTACATTACATGTAATATTATTAAGAATATTACAATATAATGTTATAGTGCAATCTATATAAATAAAAATGTAATTATCATTTGTGGGATTAACAAAACTCAAAAACCACTGGATGAATTGACACCAAATTTGGACACAAGACACCTACTATAACCCAATCAAAAAAATTGATTTCGTCATTTGGGAGTTGTAGTTGCAGGGATTTGTAGTTCAACTACAATCACAGAGCATTCTGAACTCCACCAACGATGGAATTGAACCAAACTTGGCCCTCAGTTCTCCCATGACCAACAGAAAATACTGGAAGGGTTTGGTGGGCAGTGTCCTTTGGTTTGGGAGTTGTAGTTCACCTACATCCAGAGATCACTGCGGACTCAAACAATGATGGATCTGGACCAAACTCTACACAAATACTCCATATGCCCAAATGTGAACACTGCTGGAGTTTGCGTAAAATAGAATCTTGAAATTTGGGAGTTGTAGTTGCTGGGATTTATAGTTCACCTACAATCAAAGAGCATTCTGAACCCCACCAATGATGGAACTGAACCAAACTTGGCACACAGTTCTCCCATGATCAACAGAAAATACTGGAAGGGTTTGGTGGGCAGTGTCCTTTGTTTTTGGAGTTGTAGTTCACCTACATCCAGAGATCACTGTGAACTCAAACAATGATGGATTTAGACCAAACTCGACACCAATGTTTCTCAACCTTCCTAGTGCTGCGACCCCTTAATACAGTTCCTCATGTTATGGTGACCCCACAATCATAAAATTATTTTCATTGCTATTTTACAACAGTTATTTTCCTACTGTTATGAGTTATAATGTAAATATCTGATATGCTTGGTGTATTTTCATTCACTGGACAAAATACCCAATATGCCCAAATTTGAATAATGATGGGGTTGGGGGGGGGGGGGAGGTTGATTTCATCATTTGGGAGTTGTAGTTGCTGGGATTTATAGTTCACCTACAATCAAAAAGCATTCTGTACTCCACCAACAATGGAACTGAACCAAACTTGGCACACAGTTCTCCCATGACCAACAGAAAATACTGGAAGGGTCTGGTGGGCCTTGAGTTTGGGAGTTGTAGTTCACCTACAACCAGGGAGCACTGTGGACTCAAACAAGGATGGATCTGGACCAAACTTAGCATGAGTACTCAATATGCCCAAATGTGAACACTAGTGGGGTTTGAGGAAAATAGACCTTGACATTCTACCAACGACCAAGAGCATTCTGAATCCCATCAAGGACAGAATTGGGCCAGACTTCCCACACAGAACCCCCATGACCCACAGAAAATACTGTGTTTTCTTACGGTCTTTGGCGACCCCTCTGAAACCCCCTCGTGACCCCCCCCCCCAGAGTCTCGACCCCCAGGTTGAGAAATGCTGCCATGAATATTCAATATGCCCAAATGTGGAGTTTTGGGAAAAGACTCTTGACATTTGGGAGTTGTAGTTGCTGGGATTTATAGTTCACCTACAATCACAGATTATTCTGAACCCCACCATCGATAGTATTGGGCCAAACCTCCCACACAGAACCCCCATAACCACCAGAGTGGGCCACAGCAATGCGTGGCAGGGGACGGCTAGTATAGTAATATATAATACTGATATTGTACTATGCTAATAATATAATATATTGTATGAAAATGTATCTTGTAAGCCACTCTGAGTCCCCTTCAGGGTGAGAAGGGCGGCATAGAAATGCCGTAAATTAATTAATAAATACATTCATTGCCAGCAAATAAAGGGAAACTTGTATGTGTTGGGCTGCTCTTCCTACTCACTGCCAAGCCATCAAATGCTAATCAAGGTGGTCAATTGAAACATTCACACCTAACTCCAGCAGACAAGAATCCTTTGTCCCACCCTGGTCATTCCACAGATATATAAATCCATTTTCCTAGTTCCAACAGACCTCGCTACCTCTGAGGATGCTTGCCATAGATGCAGGCAAAACGTCAGGAGAGAATGCCTCTAGAACATGGCCATCTAGCCCAGAAAAATCTACAACTACAACAAGCATCCTCATAGCTTGTGAGGTCTGTTGGAACTAGGAAGATGGGTTGATATATCTGTGGAATGACCAGGGTGGGACAAAGAACTCTTGTCTGCTGGAGCTAGGTGTGAATATGTATTGTCAAAGGCTTTCATGGCCGGAATCACTGGGTTGTTGTAGGTTTTTCTGGGCTATATGGCCATGTTCTAGAGGCATTCTCTCCTGACGTTTCGCCTGCATCTATGGCAAGCGTACTCAGAAGTTGTGGGGTCTGTTGGAACTAGGAAAAAGGGTTTATATATCCGTGGAAAGACCAGGGTGGGGCAAAGGACTCTTGTCTGCCGGAGCTAGGTGTGAATGTTTCAACTGACCACCTTGGCAACTGACCACCTTGGCATTTAATGGCTTGGCAGTGCCTGGGGGAATCTTCTCTTGAGAGGTGATTAGGTGTCCTTATGTGAAGATGTATTGACGAAGGCTTTCATGGCCGGAATCACTGGATTGTTGTAGGTTTTTCCGGGCTATATGGCCATGGTCTAGAGGTATTTTCTCCTGACGTTTCGCCTGCATCTATGGCAAGCATCCTCAGAAGTTGTGGGGTCTGTTTTAACTAGGAAAAAAGGTTTATATATCTGTGGAAAGACCAGGGTGGGACAAAGGACTCTTGTCTGCTGGAGCTAGGTGTGAATATGTATTGTCGAAGGCTTTCATGGCCGGAATCACTGGGTTGTTGTAGGTTTTTTCAGGATATATGGCCCTGGCCTAGAGGCATTCTCTCCTGACGTTTCGCCTGCATGTATGGCAAGCATCCTCAGAGGTAGTGAGGTCTGTTGGAAGTAGGAAAAAGGGTTTATATATCTGTGGAATGATGTCCAGGGTGGGACAAAGGACTCTTGTCTGCTGGAGCTAGGTGTGAATGTTTCAACTGACCACCTTGATTAGCATTTGATGGCTTGGAAGTGCCTGGGGCAACCTTTTGTTGAGAGGTGATTAGATGTATGGGTTGTAGGTTTTTTCGGGCTATATGGCCATGTTCTGGAGGCATTCTCTCCTGACGTTTCGCCTGCATGTATGGCAAGCATCCTCAGAGGTAGTGAGGTCTGTTGGAAGTAGGAAAAAGGGTTTATATATCTGTGGAAGGACCAGGGTGGGACAAAGGACTCTTGTCTGCTGGAGCTAGCTGGGAATGTTTCAACTGACCACCTTGATTAGCATTTAATGGCTTGGAAGTGCCTGGGGGGAATCTTTTGTTGAGAGGCGATTAGATATCTGGGTTGTAGGTTTTTTCGGGCTATATGGCCATGTTCTAGCGGCATTCTCTCCTGACGTTTTGCCTGCATCTATGGCAAGCATCCTCATAGCTAGTGAGGTCTGTTGGAACTAGGAAGATGGGTTTATATATCTTTGGAAGGACCAGGGTGGGACAAAGGACTCTTGTCTGCTGGAGCTAGGTGTGAATGTTTCAACTGACCACCTTGATTAGCATTTGATGGCTTGGAAGTGCCTGGGGGAATCTTTTGTTGAGAGGTGATTAGATGTATGGGTTGTTGTAGGTTTTTTCGGGCTATCTGTGGAAAGACCAGGGTGGGACAAAGGACTCTTGTCTGCTGGAGCTAGGTGTGAATGTTTGACCACCTTGATTAGCATTTAATGGCTTGGAAGTGCCTGGGGGAATCTTTTGTTGAGAGGTGATTAGATGTGCCTGATTGTTTAGTCTCTGTTGTTTTGCTGTTGCAACACCTTCTCTCTCCTCAACTGCCCCCAAAAGCACCCAATCCTGCCTGATCTTGGCTGCTAAGCAGGGCCAGCCCTGGCGAGTATCTTGGGTGGGAGACTAACAAGGCAGAACTACAGATCTGGGCCATAATTTGGAGCAAGAATGGAGCAGAACAGAGCTTGATGCCCCCCTGCGTGAGGGAACCCCGCCAGGCCCATTGGGAGGCCCCTGCCCGGCTTAAAGAGGCATTCACACGTGCAAAAGAAGACACGCGTCAGGGGAAAATAGCTCCCCCAGGGGGTTTTCTTCCCTCCTTCCTCCCTCCTCGGTTTCCCCGGACTTACTGAGCACCAGGACGGGGCGCTGGCCCAGCATCTTTTCCCTCACGTCGCCGCGGAACCTTCTGGAGGAAAGAAAGGAGGAGGGGACGGGAAAGCGCCGTTTCACCGCGCCCCGCGCAGCCTAACACGCCCGCTGGGGCCCTCCGCCAATCGGAGGCCTCGCACTCCGGCTCTGCGCCAATAGGAGAACGCGTCTCCTCTTAACGGCCACGCCTACTTCCCCAGCATGGTGGGTTGAGAGGGACAACGGGCCGCACGGTTCTGAAGAATGAAGGGAGGGGGAGCAATGCGCGTGCGCGGAGTCCTCTTCCACATGCGCATGCGTCGAAGAGGCGGTGGGGGAAGCGCAAAGGCTGCTAATGCGCCTGCGCAAAAGGGAAAGGGCTGCTAAGTAGCCTACACTGAAGCGAAAAGGCTGCTAATGCGCCTGCGCAGAAGGGAAAGGGTTGCTAAGTAGGTTTAAGCGGAAACAAAAGGCTTCTAATGCGCCTGCGCAGAAGAGAAAGAGTTGGTAATGCGCCTACACTGAAGCGAAAAGGCTGCTAATGCGCCTGCGCAAAAGGGAAAGCGTTGGTAATGTGCCTGCGCAGAAGGGAAAGGGCTGCGAAGTAGCTTAAGCAGAAACAAAAGGCTTCTAATGAGCCTGCGCAGAAAGGAAAGAGTTGCTAATGCGCCTGCGCAGAAGGGAAAGCGCTGCTAAGTAGCTTACGCAGAAGCGAAAAGGTTGCTAATGCGCCTGCGCAAAAGGGAAAGGGCTGGTGAATATGCAGAAGGAAAAAAGTTGCTAATGCGCCTGCGTAGAAGGGAAAGAGTTGCTAATGCGCCTGCGCAAAAGGGAAAGGGCTGCTAAGCTTAAGCAGAAACAAAAAGCTTCTAATACGCCTGCGCAGAAGAGAAAGAATTGGTAATGCGCCTGCGCAAAAGGGAAAAGGCTGCTAAGTAGCCTATGCAGAAGCTAAAGAGTCGCTAATGCGCCTGCGCAGAAGAGAAATGACTGCTAAGTAGCTTAAGCAGCAACAAAAGCCTTCTAATGCGCCTGCGCAGAAGGGAAAGAGTTGTTAATGCGCCTGCGCAAAAGGGAAAGGGCTGCTATGTAGAAACAAGAGTTGCTAATGCGCCTGCGCAGAAGGGAAAGCGTTGCTAATGCGCCTGCGCAGAACGGAGAGCGCTGCTAAGTACCTTAAGCAGAAACAAAAGGCTTCTAATGCGCCTGCGCAGAAGAGAAAGAGTTGCTAATGCGCCTGCGCAGAAGGGAAAGCGTGGCTAAGTAGTTTTCGCAGACGAGAAAGGGCTGCTAATGCGCCTGCGCAAAAGGAAAAGGGCTGCTAAGCTTAAGCAGAAACAAAAGCCTTCTAATGCGCCTGCGTAGTTTTCGCAGACGAGAAAGGGCTGCTAATGCGCCTGCGCAGAAGGGAAAGCGTTGCTAATGCGCCTGCGCGGTTTTAGTCAGCGGTTGCTAGATGGAGCCTTCACGCCCTCCGGCCCGGCGTTCCCCCAGAGGCGAGTTTTTTGGGGGAGAAACCCCCCAGAGACAACATTTGGCACCCCATTGGCCAGATGGGATTTGTAGTCTTCCGTGTCTCCTGTCAGTTGGAGTCTCAATGGCGGCTGAGTCATGCCCAGGCCTAAGCCCCGCCCCTTCCGCCGCGGGGCATGATGGGAGCTGTAGTTTGCGGCCCTCCTGAGCCAGTTCCTAGCAGGCGCCTTGAACCCTGCCAGAGAATCCAGGTTATCAGAGCTCATCCTCCACATAATCTGCTCTGAACTGGGTTATGTGAGTCTACACTGCCAGATAATCCAGTTCAGAGCAGATAATCTGGATTCCACACTGCCATGGGGTGAAATCCAGGTTTGAAATGGATTATATAGCTGTGTAGATCAGCTGTGGAGCCCAAGGTGTCACAGTGGGTTAGATTATAATATTAATTAATAATAAAATAGTAATAATATTATTAATAATAATAATAGCCTGAAGCCTTAGGGAGGAGCAGGTAAGAAATATAATAAGAAAATGGTAATAATAATAAATATCATTAATATTACTACTACTACTACTAATAGCCTGAAGCTTTAGGGAGGAGCAGATAAGAAATATAATAATAATAATAGTATTAATAGCCTGTAGCCTTAGGGAGGAGCAGGTAAGAAATATAATAATAATAATAATAATAATAGTATTAATAGCCTGAAGCTTTAGGGAGGAGCAGGTAATAAATATAATAATAATAATAATAGTATTAATAGCTTGCATCTTTAGGGAAGAGCAGGTAATAAATATAATAATAATAATAATATAGTAATAGTATTAATAGCTTAAAGCCTTAGGGAGGAGCAGGTAATAAATATAATAATAATATAATAATAATAGTATTAATAGCTTAAAGCCTTAGGGAGGAGCAGGTTATAAATATAATAATAATAATAATAGTAGTAGTAGTATTAATAGCTTAAAGCCTTAGGGAGGAGCAGGTAATAAATATAATAATAATAATAATAATAATAATAAAGTAATATCATTAATGCTACTAATACTAATAGTCTGAAGCCTTAGGGAGGAGCAGGTAAAAAATATAATAATAATAATAATAATAATATAGTAGTAGTAGTAGTAGTAGTATTAATAGTCTGAAGCCTTAGGGAGGAGCAGGTAAGAAATAATAATAAGAATAAAGTAATATCATTAATACTACTACTACTAATAGCCCGAAGGCTTAGGGAGGAGCCAGTAAGAAATATAATAATAATATAATAATGTATTAATAGCCTGAAGCCTTAGGGAGGAGCAGGTAAGAATTAATAATAATATTAATAATAATAATAAAGTAATATCATTAATACTACTAATACTAATAGCCTGAAACCTTAGGGAGGAGCAGGTAAGAAATAATAATAATAATAAAGTAATATCATTAACACTACTACTACTAATAGCCTAAAGCCTTAGGGAATAGCAGGTAAGAAATATAATAATAATAATAATAATAATAATAATAATAGGAGCCCCCAGTGGAGCAGTGGGTTAAAGTGCTGACCTGCTGAACTTGCTGACTGAAAGGTTGATGGTTCGAATCTGGATTGCGGGGTGAGCTTCTGCTGTTAGCCCCAGCTTCTGCCAACCTAGTAGTTTGAAAACATGCACATGTGAGTAAATCAATAGATACTGCTCCGACGGGAAGGTAACAGCGCTCAATGCAATCATGCCGGCCACATGACCTTGGAGGTGTCTATGGATAATGCCAACTCTTCAGTTTAGAAATGGAGATGAGCATCACAGTCCCATAGTCAGTCTCGACTGTACTTAATGTCAGGGGAAAACCTTCACCTTTACCTAGACTAGGCATGGGCCAACTTGGGTACTTATGTACACTTGTTAAGTAGTTATCATGAGCAAATATAAGAGAATATACAGACCTCACAACCTGCCATAGATCCAGGCGAAACGTCAGGAGAGAATGCTTCTGGAACAGGGTCAGACAGCCCGAAAAACTTACAACAACCCAAATATCACATAAATTATTATTAGTAAATATAGTTAAACAAATATCACAGATTTCAATTATTACAACCTATGTCTCTTCAATGACTCAGTGGCCTGACCCAGGCAGTTTGGACACTGACTTATCAGTACACATAATAAAAGTGAAAATATGTATGTGGCTGGGGTGTCCACTTACACAGACAAGCTCCTGCCTCCACAAAGTTCCCACTACTCAGGAGACAACAAAAGTCCTCCCTCCAGTGACACTGCAGGTCATGGCGAGCACCATGAACATGTCCAAGAGCCCTGCCAATGTCCCCCACCAACACCGGACTGCCCACCACCCACCACCTTTCCTTCGGGGACAATTCCATCCTAGATTGTATGTGTTTCCTCCACCAGACATCACAGTGTAAACATGTCCAAGAGCCCTGCCAATGTCCTCCACCAACACCACACTGCCCACCACCCAAGTGAAGGCTTTCATTAGGGGACAATTCCATCCTAGATTGTATGTGTTTCCTCCACCAGAGACATCACAGTGTAAACAGGTCCAAGAGCCCTGCCAATGTCCTCCACCAACACCGGACTGCCCACCACCCAAGGGAAGGCTTTCATTAGGGGACAATTCCATCCTAGATTGTATGTGTTCCCTCCACCACAGACATCACAGAGTAAACAGGTCCAAGAGCCCTGTCAATATCCTCCACCAACACTGGACTGCCCACTACCCAAGGGAAGGCTTTCATTTGGGGACAGTTCCATCCTAGATTGTATGTGTTCCCTCCACCACAGACATCACAGTGTAAACAGGTCCAAGAGCCCTATCAATGTCCTCCACCAACACCACACTGCCCACCACCCAAGGGAAGGCTTTCTTTCAGGGACATGTGTTTCCTCCACCAGATCCGTCATTGTTTGAGTCCACAGTGCTCTCTGGGTATAGGTGAACTACAAATCCAAAACTCAAGGTCAAAGCCCACGAAACCCTTCCAGTATTTTCCGTTGGTCATGGGAGTTTTGTGTGCCAAGATTGGTTCAAAACTATCATTGATGGAGTTCAGAATGCTCTTTGATTTTAGGTGAACTATAAATCCCAGCAACTACAATCCCCAAATGTCAAGGTCTGTTTTCCCCCAAACTCCACCAGTGTTCACATTTGATCATATTGATTATTTGTGCCAAGTTTGGTCCAGATCTATCATCGTTTGAGTCTCTGGATGTAGGTGAACTACAACTCCCAAACTCAAGGTCAATTGCCACCAAACCCAGTATTTTTTGTTGGTCATGAGAGTTCTCTGTACCAAGCTTGGTTCAATTCTATCGTTAGTGGAGTTCAGAATGCTCTTTGATTTTAGGTTAAACCCAGCAATTACAATCCCCAAATGACTACAAAGTTCAAGCTTACATAGGAAGTTGGTTTGTGGTTAAGCGCAAAGTCTGCAGGTGCGAGAAGGTACTTTCCATCAAGAGGTTGATGGGACAGGAAGAGCAATGTACCCCTTCCCTGTAGAAAAGGAGCAGCAAGAAGGAAAATGTTTTTTAAAAAACGAGGCGACATGTAGAGGTCATACAAAGTTCAAACTTAAATGGGAAGTTGGTTTGCGGTTAAGCGCAAAGTCTGATGGGACAGGAAGAGCAATGTATCCCTTCCCTGTGGAAAAGGAGCAGCACGAAGGAAAATGTTTTAAAAAACAAGAGGTGACATGTAGAGGTCATACAAAGTTCAAACTTACATAGGAAGTTGGTTTGTGGTTAAGCTCAAAGTCTGCAGGTGTGAGAAAGTACTTTCCATCAAGAGGTTGATGGGACAGGTAGAGCAATGTATCCTTTCCCTGTAGAAAAGGAGCAGCACGAAGGAAAATGTTTTTAAAAAACAAGAGTTGACATGGAGAGGTCATACAAAGTTCAAGCTTACATAGGAAGGTGGTTTGTGGTTAAGTGCAAAGTCTGCAGGTGTGAGAAAATACTTTCCATCAAGAGGTTGATGGGACAGGAAGAGCAATGTACCCCTTCCCTGTAGAAAAGGAGCAGCACGAAGGAAAATGTTTTAAAAAAACAAGAGGTGACATGTAGGGATCATACAAAGTTCAAGCTTACCTTTGAAGTTGGTTTGTGGTTAAGCACAAAGTCTGCAGGTACAAGAAAGTACTTTCCATCAAGAGGTTGATGGGATAGGAAGAGCAATGTACCCCTTCCCTGTAGAAAAGGAGCAGCACAAAGGAAAATGTTTTAAGAAAACAAGAGGTGACATGTAGAGGTCATACAAAGTTCAAGCTTACATTTGAAGTTGGTTTGTGGTTAAGCGCAAAGTCTGCAGGTGTGAGAAAGTACTTTCCATCAAGAGGTTGATGGGACAGGAAGAGCAATGTACCCCTTCCCTGTAGAAAAGGAGCAGCACGAAGGAAAATGACTAAAAAAAACAAGAGATGACATGTAGAGGTCATACAAAGTTCAAGCTTACATAGGAAGTTGGTTTGTGGTTAAGCGCAAAGTCTGCAGGTGTGAGAAAATACTTTCCATCAAGAGGTTGATGGGACAGGAAGAGCAATGTACCCCTTCCCTGTAGAAAAGGAGCAGCACGAAGGAAAATGTTTTTAAAAAACAAGAGGTGGCATGTAGAGGTCATACAAAGTTCAAGCTTACATACAAAGTTCAAGTGAGACCCTCCGGTCTGGCACAGCGGACTTGAGGTTTCCAAAACACACAGACTCAATTACCACACAGCATTCTTCTTCGGTTTCAAAATAATAAGCTTTACTGGAAGCATCTATATACAAGTGACTACATGTTGATGAGGAAAGATGGCGACTGACAAAGTACAGGACTAAACACACAGACAAAGAAACATCCTGCCCTCCTGACTTATCTGTCTACTAGCTGGTTAACTCCCTTTTGTTCTCAGGGCTGTTATCTCAGTCTCAAGGACTTTGCTCTCTGGCCTATAACAATAATTATCTACTACACGAATGAACAAAAATGAACATGACTGAAACCATCTTGAATTACATTATTAACACATTGAAAAACATATATGAAATAACTGCAATTATTCTGACAGGTTTGTGGTTAAGTGCAAAGTCTGCAGGTGTGAGAAAGTACTTTCCAAGAAGAGGTTGATGGGACAGGAAGAGCAACGTACCCCTTCCCTGTAGAAAAGGAGCAGCACGAAGGAAAATGTTTTAAAAAACAAGAGGTGACATGTAGAGGTCATACAAAGTTCAAGCTTACATAGGAAGTTGGTTTGTGGTTAAGTGCAAAGTCTGCAGGTGTGAGAAGGTTGATGGGACAGGAAGAGCAATGTACCCCTTCCCTGTAGAAAAGGAGCAGCACAAAGGAAAATGTTTTAAAAAAACAAGTGGTTCTCATGTAGAGGTCATACAAAATTCAAGCTTACATAGGAAGTTGGTTTGTGGTTAAGCACAAAGTCTGCAGATGTGAGAAGGTACTTTCCATCAAGAGGTTGATAGGACAGGAAGAGCAAAGGTCAAAGTACTTTCCATGACAAAAATATTCTTGTTTACATGATGGTATAAAGGTTTGCAAAAAGCCGAGGAGGGGCGTAGCAGTCTGTGGGTGCACTTACAAAGGTGCTGTCTGTTTGCCTCATGCTGATCAGCTTGAATAAACGGTGTCTTACCTGAACCTATTGGACTCTGGATTTCTTAGAAAAGGGACCCCGCACCCTAAACCCGTGATCCCTTACACTGTAGCTAAAAAGGCCAATGCGATGCTAGGTTGCATCCTTAGGAGGAGTGTTCTAATTTTTCCATTTATTTATCTCTGACAGTATGAAACCGGAAAGACCCCGGAAGACCGGCTTGACCCTAAATAAGAAACATAAGCCTCTCCCTCCGGTTCAAATCAAAGGGGAGTTGTTTTCCAGTCTTGGACCTTCTTATTTTTTCCCCCCTTTAAGAAAAAGACATCCCTAAGGGATTCCTCTTCTTCCTCAATCCATATTCTCTTCTTTTTCCGTATCCTCCCTTTCTAGGGACTGAGTCGGGTCCCGTTCGGATGGAGCCGGAAGTCGACCCCCAAGATGAGAAACCGCACCGGAAAAGTAAGCCAGTTGCACTCTCGGCTGGAATCCACCTTTACGCTCAACCCACACAGGAATTACAATAGCATTAACGAAAAAAATTATTGAGAAAAGAAAATATAAAAAGGGAAAAACAATTGACAGGGGATATTGACAATCTATATAAATAAAAATGTAATGTTCGTTTGTGAGATTAACAGAACTCAAAAACCACTGGACGAATTATAATAATAATATAATATTATTATATATTATATTATTTTATATTATAATATTGTATATACATATAATATTTATATTATAATTTATTATAATTTAATACAATTTAATTTAAATACTACTAATAATAATATAATAATAATATATTATTATTATATTATTATTAGTAGTAGTAGTATTGTATTAAATTAAATTGTATTAAATTATAATAAATTATAAAATAAATATTATATGTATATACAATATTATAATATAAATTTATGTTTTATATCTATATATAATATTAGCATAGTTCAATATCAGTATTATATATTACTATATTGTACTTTACCATTATATTGTAATATTATTAGTAATATTACATGTAATATAAAAAAATTATTAGTCGTGTCAGGGCAACCAGTCAATTGTATTACATTTCTAACAGAACAAAACAAACAAACAAACAGACAAAATACAAAATTTGTGAGTTTGGTAGTTGATTCAATGTCCTTTGACCAGTCTCTGGCTCCTTGGAGTGCCTCTGGTGTTGCTGCAAGAAGGTCCTCCATCGTGCATGTGGCAGGGCTCAGGGTGCATTGCAGCAGGTGGTCAGCAGTTTGCTCTTCTCCGCACTCGCATGTCGTGGACTCCACTTTGTGGCCCCATTTCTTGAGGTTGGCTCTGCATCTCGTGGTGCCAGAGTGCAGTCTGTTCAGCGCCTTCCAAGTCGCCCAGTCTTCTGTGTGCCCAGGGGGGAGTCTCTCATTTGGGTTCTGGTTTGAGCCTGCCACTTTTGGACTCCCGCTTGCTGAGGTGTTCCAGCGAGTGTCTCTGCAGATCTTAGAAAACTATTTCTAGATTTAAGTCGTTGACGTGCTGGCTGATACCCAAACGGGATGAGCTGGAGATGTCTCTGCCTTGGTCCTTTCACTATTGGCTGCTACTTCCCGGAGGATGTCAGGTGGTGCAATACTGGCTAAGCAGTGTAATTTCTCCAGTGGTGTAGGGCGCAGACACCCTGTGATAATGCGGCATGTCTCATTAAGAGTCACATCCACTGTTGTAGCATGGTGAGATGTGTTCCACACTGGGCATGCATACTCAGTAGCAGAGTAGCATAGTGGAAGGGCAGACGTCTTCACTGTGTCTGGTTGTGATCCCCAGGTTGTGCCAGTCAGCTTTCGTATGATATTGTTTCTAGCGCCCACTTTTTGCTTGATGTTCAGGCAGTGCTTCTTGTAGGTCAGAGCACGGTCCAGAGTGACTCCCAGGTATTTGGCTGCGCTGCAATGCTCCAGTGGGATTCCTTCCTTCCCAGGTAATAATCCTCAGAGCTCAGGATGCTTGTCTGTTCCTGAGATGAAAAGCACATGTCTGTGTTTTAGATAGATTAGGGATCAGCTGGTTTTCCCTGTAATAGGCAATAAGAGCACCTAGAGCTTCGGAGAGCTTCTGTTCAACCATCTCAATGCTCCTTGCTTGAGCAGTGATGTCACGATCGTCAGCATATATGAAACTCTCCATCCCTTCTGGCAGTGGCTGGGCATTTGTGTAAACATTATAAATTGATAGAGCAAGCTGGTTTTCCCTGTAATAGGCAATAAGAGCACCTAGAGTTTCGGAGAGCTTCTGTTCAACCATCTCAAAGCTCCCTGCTTGAGCGGTGATTGCATGATCATCAGCATAGATGAAGTTCTCTGTCCCTTCTGGCAGTGGCTGGTCATTTGTGTAGATGTTGAACATGGATGGGGCAAGCACGCTCCCTTGAGGCAGGCCGTTCTTCTGTTTCCGCCATCTGCTTCTCTGGCCCTGGAACTCAACAAAGAAGCTCCTGTTTTGTAGCAGGTTTCCTATGAGGCGGGCGAGGTGATCGTCCTTTGTGAGATTATACATTTTTTCTCAGGAGGAGGCAGTGGTGGTTCACAGTATCATAGGCTGCTGACAAGTCTATGAAGACGGCTCCTGTGATCTGCTGCCTTTCAACGCCATCTTCTATGTGCTGAGTCAGGTTCAGCACTTGCGATGTGCAGCTTTTGCCTTTCCTGTAACCAGCTTGCTGTGGGATCAGACCGGGGTCTATTTTTTCCATAATTCTATGCAAAATAAGTCTCTCCAGAATTTTGTAGAGGTGGCACAACAGGGAGATTGGTCTGTAGCTTTTTGGGTCATTACGGTCTTTGCCTGGCTTCAAGATAGCTTTGACTCTTGCTTTCCTCCAGATTTTGGGGATCCGACAGGATGCCGTGCAGTTGTTCATCAGCTCCAGCAGCCAGCGCCTTGCTTTTGGGCCAAATTTCTTGATTTGTTCCATCTGTGGATCATCCAGGCCAGCTGCTTTGCCATTCTTACATTTATTGAGAGCCATGTCCAATTCAGTAGGTGTAAAGGGTTCATGAAGGTTGTTGTTCTCAATCTCTGGTTGTCTGGCTCCAGCAAAGGAGCCAGCAAAGGATCTCCAGCAAAGGATCACCGCCTTGTCGGGGCGCTGGAGCTTGAGCACCTCAATGATGTCATGAGCGAAACCGTGAAGGGACACCCAAGACGGGACGGTTGTGGCAGAGAGGTCAGACCAAGCGTGATCCCTGGGGAAGGCAATGGCAAACCACTCCAGTATCCTTGCCAAGAAAACTAAATGGACCAGTACAACCAGAGATATGTCGGTATGTCATTGGAAGATGGGACTCCCAGGTCGGAAGATGGCCAAAATGCTACTGGGGAGGAGCAGAGGATAAGTTCAACTAGCCCCAGATGTGATGACGCAGCTAGCTCAAAGCCGAAAGGAAGGCTAGCGGCCGACGGTACTGGAGGTGAACGACGAATCCGATGCTCTAAAGATCAACACACCATAGGAACCTGGAATGTAAGATCTATGAGCCAGGGCAAATTGGATGTTGTTATTGGCGAGATGTCAAGACTAAAGATAGACATTCTGGGGGTCAGCGAACTGAAGTGGACTGAAATGGGCCACTTCACATCAGATGACCACCAGATCTACTACTGCGGACAAGAGGAACATCGAAGAAATGGAGTAGCCTTCATAATTAATAAGAAATTCGCTAAAGCGGTGCTTGGATACAACCCAAAAAATGACCGAATGATCTCAATTCGAGTGCAAGGAAAGCCTTTCAACATTACAGTGATCCAAATATATGCCCCAACCACAGCTGCTGAAGAAGCAGAAGTAGATCAGTTCTATGAGGATCTGCAGGACCTACTGGATAATACACCAAAAAGAGACATTATTTTCATTACAGGAGACTGGAATGCCAAGTGGGAAGTCAAATGACAACTGGGATCACAGGCAAGCATGGTCTGGGAGAACAAAATGAAGCGGGACGCAGGCTGATAGAATTTTGCCAGGAAAACTCGCTGTGTATAACAAACATTCTCTTCCAACAACCTAAAAGACGGCTTTATACATGGACTTCACCAGATGGTCAGCACCGAAATCAGATTGACTACATCCTTTGCAGCCAAAGGTGGCGGACATCCATCCAGTCGGTGAAAACAAGACCTGGGGCTGACTGTAGCTCAGATCACGAACTTCTTATTGCCAAATTTAGAATAAAACTAAAGAGATCAGGGAAAATACACAGACCAGTTAGATATGATCTCACTAACATTCCTAGCGAATATACAGTGGAAGTGAAGAACAGATTTGAAGGACTAGATTTAGTAAACAGAGTCCCAGAAGAACTATGGACAGAAGTCCGCGACATTGTTCAGGAGGCGGCAACAAAGTACGTCCCAAAGAAAAAGAAAACCAAGAAGGCAAAATGGTTGTCTGCTGAGACACTGGAAGTAGCCCAAGAAAGGAGGAAAGCAACAGGAAACAGGGATAAGGGGAGATATGCCCAGTTAAATGCGCAATTCCAGAGGTTAGCCAGAAGAGATAAGGAACTATTTTTAAATAAGCAATGCATGGAAGTGGAAGAAGACAAGAAGAATAGGAAGAATAGGAAGGACAAGAGACCTCTTCCAGAAAATTAGAAACATTGGAGGTAAATTTCAGGCAAAAATTGGTATGATAAGAAACAAAGATGGCGGGGACCTAACAGAAGCTGAAGAGATCAAGAGAAGGTGGCGAGACTATACAGAAGATCTGTATAGGAAGGATAATAATATTGAGGATAGTTTGACGGTGTGGTGAATGAATTAGAACCAGACATCCTGAGGAGTGAGGTTGAATGGGCCTTAAGAAGCATTGCTAACAACAAGGCAGCAGGAGACGACGGGATCCCAGCTGAACTGTTTAAAATCTTAAAAGATGATGCTGTCAAGGTGATGCATGCCATGCCAGCAAATATGGAAAACAAGAATAGCTATTGGATTGGAAAAAATCAACTTGTATCCCCATACCAAAAACGGGAAACACTAAAGAATGCTCAAACTTTCGTACAGTGGCCCTTATTTCTCATGCCATTAAGGTAATGCTCAAGATCCTGCAAGGAAGACTCCAGCAATACATGGAGCGAGAGTTGCCAGATGTTCAAGCTGGGTTTAGAAAAGGCAGAGGAACGAGAGACCAAATTGCCAATATCCGCTGGATAATGGAGAAAGGCAGGGAGTTTCAGAAAAACATCTACTTCTGCTTCATTGACTATTCTAAAGCCTTTGACTGTGTGGATCATAATAAATTGTGGCAAGTTCTTAGTGGGATGGGCATCCCAAGCCCCCTTCCCTCTCTCCTGAGGAATCTGTACAAGGACCAAGTAGCAACAGTCAGAACTGACCACGGAACAACAGACTGGTTCAAGATTGGGAAAGGCGTACGGCAAGGCTGCATCCTCTCACCCAACCTTTTTAACTTGTATGCAGAACACATCATGCGAGGATGTGCGGGGCTGGATGAATGCAAAGCTGGGGTGAAAATTGCTGGAAGAAACATTAACAACCTCAGATATGCAGATGACACCACTCTGATGGCCGAAAGCGAGGAGGAGCTGAGGAGCCTTCTAATCAAGGTGAAAGAAGAGAGCACAAAAGCCGGGTTGCAGCTAAACGTCAAAAAAACCAAGATTATGGCAACAAGAATGATTGACAACTGGAAAATAGAGGGAGAAACCGTGGAGGCCGTGACAGACTTTGTATTTCTAGGTGCAAAGATTACTGCAGATGCAGACTGTGGCCAGGAAATCAGAAGACGCTTCCTTCTTGGGAGGAGAGCAATGTCCAATCTCGATAAAATAGTAAAGAGTAGAGACATCAGACTGGCAACCAAGATCCATTGCCTAGTCAAAGCCATGGTATTCCCTGTAGTCACCTACGGATGTGAGAGCTGGACCTTAGGGAAGGCTGAGCGAAGGAAGATCGATGCTTTTGAGCTGTGGTGTTGGAGGAAAGTGCTGAGAGTGCCTGGGACTGCGAGAAGATCCAACCAGTCCATCCTCCAGGAAATAAAGCCCGACTGCTCACTGGAGGGAAAGATACTAGAGACAAAGTTGAAGTACTTTGGCCACATCATGAGGAGACAGGAAAGCCTAGAGAAGACAATTATGCTGGGGAAAGTGGAAGGCAAAAGGAAGAGGGGCCGACCAAGGCAAGATGGATGGATGGCATCCTTGAAGTGACTGGACTGACCTTGAAGGAGCTGGGGGTGGTGACGGCCGACAGGGAGCTCTGGCGTGGCTGGTCCATGAGGTCACGAAGAGTCGGAGACGACTGAACAAATGAACAACAACAACATGCAATATTATAATATAAATATATATGTATTGTCGAAGGCTTTCACGGCCAGAATCCATGGGTTGTTGTAGGTTCCATGGCCATATAGCCCGGAAAAACCTACAACAACCCATAAATATATACGTTTTATATATTTGTAAAATATTATTAGCATTGTACAATATCAGTATTATATATTACTACATTATACTATACCATTATATTGTAATATTATTAGTAATATTTCATGTAATATAAAATATATAATTATAATTTATTATTATTATTATTATTATTATTATTATTATTATTATTATTGGGTTATAGATAAGGGGGTTACCTATTTAATAAATGCTCGTTTTCGTTATCTTTCAGGTACGCCGAGAAGACCTTCCCAAGTCACACGTGAGTGGTTTCACATTCAGTGTCTTTAGATTACCTTTGCAAACTCTCTAACTACAGACATCATTATTAGAAGCTTTTCTTCATCGTGGTCTCTGTGAAATCGCACATTTGGTATTTCCTGTGCCTGCGCAGTCAGATCGGAATCTTCTAGAAAGCTCTTGATACATCTTTTCTCTCGTCGTTCTTTAACCTTAAGGGCTTGCTGGGATTTACGGTCCGACCAGATTTCTTTCTCAACAGGAGAAGACGTCGACGGTCCGGCGGGTGCTTCGTTCAAGCCGCTCTGCCCGGCCAAACCCTCGCCCAGTTTCCTGGAACTCCCTTCCACTCCCTGGAGACCCAGCCAGGGTCTGTCCTATGCCCAGGCAATCCGGCTCGGGAAAGGAAAGAAGCATTTCTGTAAGTTGTGGAGACAGGTGGATGGCCATCTGTCGGGAGGGCTTTGATGGGGTCTCCCTGCCTGGCAGAAGGGGGTTAGACTTAGATTGGCCCTAGGAATCTCTTCCAAGTCTAGGATTCTGTGATAGGGGCTCAGGATATTAAAACCGTTCCGTCACACTGGCACGCACCTCTCCGCAGTAGTGTTCCGCTCCAGGACCACCCGCAATAAATGAAAATCCGCAAAGGAGGCATGCTATATTAATTTAAATATTTATATTTACAAAAACCTGCGAAACAGCAAGTCCGCGTAAAGCGAACCGCGAAGTCACGAAGGAAGACCAGCCTCCCTTTCTGAGGATGTAAATATTTACTATTTTATATTAATATTTACATAAACCCGTGAAACAGCGAGTCCACGTAAAGCGAACCACGAAGTCACGAAGGAACACCAGCTTCCCTTTCTGAGGATGTAAATATTTACTATTTTATATTAATATTTACATAAACCCGCGAAACAGCAAGTCCGCGTAAAGCGAACCGCGAAGTCACGAAGGAACACCAGCCTCCCTTTCTGAGGATGTAAATATTTACTATTTTATATTAATATTTACATAAACCCGCGAAACAGCGAGTCCACGTAAAGCGAACCGCGAAGTCGCGAAGGAACACCAGCTTCCCTTTCTGAGGATGTAAATATTTACTATTTTATATTAATATTTGCATGAACCCGCGAAACAGCGAGTCCGCGTAAAGCGAACCGCGAAGTCGCGAAGGAACACCAGCCTCCCTTTCTGAGGATGTAAATATTTACTATTTTATATTAATATTTACATAAACCCACGAAACAGCGAGTCCGCGTAAAGCGAACTGCGAAGTCGTGAAGGAACACCAGCCTCCCTTTCTGAGGATGTAAATATTTACTATTTTATATTAATATTTACATAAACCCGCGAAACAGCGAGTCCGCGTAAAGCGAACCGCGAAGTCGCGAAGGAACACCAGCCTCCCTTTCTGAGGATGTAAATATTTACTATTTTATATTAATATTTACATAAACCCGCGAAACAGCGAGTCCGCGTAAAGCGAACCGCGAAGTCACGAAGGAACACCAGCCTCCCTTTCTGAGGATGTAAATATTTACTATTTTATATTAATATTTACATAAACCCGCGAAACAGCGAGTCCACGTAAAGCGAACCGCGAAGTCGCGAAGGAACACCAGCTTCCCTTTCTGAGGATGTAAATATTTACTATTTTATATTAATATTTACATAAAGCCGCGAAACAGCGAGTCCGCGTAAAGCGAACCGCGAAGTCGCGAAGGAACACCAGCCTCCCTTTCTGAGGATGTAAATATTTACTATTTTATATTAATATTTACATAAACCCGCGAAACAGCGAGTCCGCGTAAAGCGAACCGCGAAGTCACGAAGGAACACCAGCCTCCCTTTCTGAGGATGTAAATATTTACTATTTTATATTAATATTTACATAAACCCGCGAAACAGCGAGTCCACGTAAAGCGAACCGCGAAGTCGCGAAGGAACACCAGCTTCCCTTTCTGAGGATGTAAATATTTACTATTTTATATTAATATTTGCATGAACCCGCGAAACAGCGAGTCCGCGTAAAGCGAACCGCGAAGTCACGAAGGAAGACCAGCCTCCCTTTCTGAGGATGTAAATATTTACTATTTTATATTAATATTTACATAAACCCGCGAAACAGCAAGTCCGCGTAAGGCGAACCGCGAAGTCGCGAAGGAACACCAGCCTCCCTTTCCGAGGATGTAAATATTTACTATTTTATATCAATATTTACATAAACCCGCGAAACAGCGAGTCCGCGTAAAGCGAACCGCGAAGTCGCGAAGGAAGACCAGCCTCCCTTTCTGAGGATGTAAATATTTACTATTTTATATTAATATTTACATAAAGCCGCGAAACAGCGAGTCCGCGTAAAGCGAACCGCGAAGTCGCGAAGGAACACCAGCCTCCCTTTCCGAGGATGTAAATATTTACTATTTTATATCAATATTTACATAAACCCGCGAAACAGCGAGTCCGCGTAAAGCGAACCGCGAAGTCGCGAAGGAACACCAGCCTCCCTTTCTGAGGATGTAAATATTTACTATTTTATATTAATATTTACATAAACCCGCGAAACAGCGAGTCCGCGTAAAGCGAACCGCGAAGTCGCGAAGGAACACCAGCCTCCCTTTCTGAGGATGTAAATATTTACTATTTTATATTAATATTTACATAAACCCGCGAAACAGCGAGTCCGTGTAAAGCGAACCGCGAAGTCGCGAAGGAACACTGTATATCATTTATATTCTGTTCCAGGACCTCCCGCCATAAGTGAAAAACCGCAATGTAGGGACGCTATATTTATTTCAATATTTATAGATTATTTTAGTAGTTATGCACTGTTTTACATCTTCATACACTTAAAATAAAGTGGAAAGGCCCATCAAGGCTGGAGGGAGGGAGGACTGAGGAGGGAAAGTGCCTCGAAAAGCGGCAAAAACCCGCGAAACAGCAAAAATTCCCGCAAAATATTTTAAAAATTAATATTTTTTTAAACCGCGAAACAGCGAGTCTGCTAAAAGCGAACTAAGTAGCGAGGGAACGTTGTATTAATGTATTTGGCTGGGGCTACACTTAAAGGATGTCCCTGTTCCGACTTACCTACAAACTCAACTTAAGAACAGACCTACAGAACTTATCTGGTTCATAACTTGGGGACCCGCGATAAGTGAAAATCCGCAAAGGAGGGATGCTATATTAATTTAAATATTTATACATTATTTTAGCATAATGTATAAATATTAAAATTAATATAGCCTCCCTACTTCGCAGATGTTCTTACCTGCGCTTCCTTATCCACCTCCAGAGCCATGCAGGCAGCAGGCGGCGGGATAACCAGTCAATGTCAATTATTGAAAAACCGCAAAACCGCGAATATTGAAAAACCGCAAAACCGCGAATATTAAAAAACCGCGAAACCGCGAGTCTGCGAAAAGCAAGAAGGAAGGAAAAAGGAAGGAGCGAAGGAAGGATAGAAAGTGTGACAGAAGAAGGGAAAGAAGGAGAGAAGGATGGAAAAAAAGAAGTGTAAAGAAGGAAGGAAGGAGAGAAGTAGGGAGAGAAAGAGGGAAGAAGAGAAGGAAGGAAAGAAAAGGGTAGAGAAGGAAGGAAGGAGAGAAGGAGGGAAAGACAGAGGGAAGGAGATAAAGAATAAAGAAAGAAGAGTAGAGAAGGAAGGAAGGAGAGAAGGAAGGATAGAAAGTGTGAGAGAAGAAGCTAAAGAAGGAGAGAAGGAGAGAAGGAAAAAAGGGAGAGAGGAAGAGAGAGGGAGGAAGGAGGAGGAGAGAAAGAGGAAGAAGGAAGAAAGGGTAAAGAAGGAAGGAGAGAAGGAGGGAAAGAAGGAGGGAAGGAGATAAAGAAGGAAAGAATGAAAGGTAAAGAAGGAAGGAGAGAAGGAAGGATAAAAAGTGTGAGAGAAGAAGCTAAAGAAGGAGAGAAGGAGAGAAGGAAGGAAAAAAGAAGGGTAAGGAAGGAAGGAGAGAAGGATGGAGAGAAAGAGGGAAGGAGAGAAGGAAAGAAAGAAAAGGGTAGGGAAGGAAGGAGAGAAGGAGGGAAAGAAGGAGGGAAGGAGATAAAGAAGGAAAGAATGAAAGGTAAAGAAGGAAGGAGAGAAGGAAGGATAGAAAGTGTGAGAGAAGAAGCTAAAGAAGGAGAGAAGGAGAGAAGGAAGGAAAAAAAGAAGGGTAAAGAAGGAAGGAAGGAGAGGAGGAAGAGAAGGAGGGAGAGAAAGAAGGAGAGAAGGAAGGAAAGAAAAGGGTAGAGAAGGAAGGAAGGAGAGAAGGAGGGAAAGAAGGAGGGAAGGAGATAAAGAAGGAAAGAATGAAAGGTAAAGAAGGAAGGAGAGAAGGAAGGATAAAAAGTGTGAGAGAAGAAGCTAAAGAAGGAGAGAAGGAGAGAAGGAAGGAAAAAAGAAGGGTAAGGAAGGAAGGAGAGAAGGATGGAGAGAAAGAGGGAAGGAGAGAAGGAAAGAAAGAAAAGGGTAGGGAAGGAAGGAGAGAAGGAGGGAAAGAAGGAGGGAAGGAGATAAAGAAGGAAAGAATGAAAGGTAAAGAAGGAAGGAGAGAAGGAAGGATAGAAAGTGTGAGAGAAGAAGCTAAAGAAGGAGAGAAGGAGAGAAGGAAGGAAAAAAAAGAAGGGTAAGGAAGGAAGGAGAGAAGGAGGGAGAGAAAGAGGGAAGGAGAGAAGGAAGGAAAGAAGGGTAGAGAAGGAAGGAAGGAGAGAAGGAGGGAAGGAGATAAAGAAGGAAAGAGAGAAGAGAAGGAAGGAAGGAGAGGAGGGAGAGAATGAAATAAAAAAGTGAAAGAGGGGAGGAAGGAGAGAAGGAACGAAAGAGAGAAAGAGGGAGGGAAGGAAGGAAAGAGACAAGGAAGGGTGGAACCAAAGAGCAAAAGAGGTGAGAAAAGAAACACGTAGAGAAGGAAGAAAGAAGAAGGGAAAGCAAAAACAAAGAAAAAGAGGGAAAGAATGAAAGAGGGAGGGAACCGCAAAACAGCGAGTCCGCTTAAAGCGAACTAAGTAGATTTGGCTGGGGCTACCCTTAAAGGATGTCCCTGTTCCGACTTACGTACAAACTCAACTTAAGAACAGGCTTAAGCCATAACTTGGGGACTGCCTGTGTGTATTTTAATCGCAGTGTGTTTTGTTGCTCTGTTTTGACCCCGGAGAGGCGGGTGTTGTTATTTATATCGTTGTCGTCGTCGTAGTCATTGTCGTCTCTCTGCTTCCCGCAGCGCCGGACCACCAACCCCAGGAATGCTTTGGCCTGCTGGAGTGCATGCACAACAACCTGCAGACCCAGACCCAAATTGCTCAGGCGCAGCTTTCCCTCCTGGAGGACATGCGCGAGTCCATGAACGTCCTCCTGGCCCGGCAGGAGAAGAAGAACGCCCAGACCGGGCGCCCGGCAGAGCCTCCCCCCAAAGGTTCGGCCTCCTCTCCCGACCCCGGGAGCTAGCGATGGCCGCCTCCGCCCCGCTCCGAAGCCACTCCGGATCAGCCCCCGGTCCCCTCTCCCTTACACTGCCGCAATGTACAGTCTCCCTTATATGAGCATCGCCCCCAAATAAATGCAGTTGTGGTCGATTCTCGTTGCACACCTTTGAACCCACAAACACACCAATGTTCTTTAAGAACTAGCCGTCTCCTGCCACGCATTGCTGTGGCCCAGTCTGTGTATATGTGTTTTGTGTGTGTATATCTGTGTGTGCATATATCTGTGTATATATGTGTGTTTGCTTATATATATATGTGGGTATATATTTATGTGTTTATATGTGTACATCCATATTGTGTATATGTATGTATGTTGTTGTTCATTCGTTCAGTCGTCTCCGACTCTTCGTGACCTCATGGACCAGCCCACGCCAGAGCTCCCTGTCGGCCGTTACCACCCCCAGCTCCCTCAAGGTCAGTCCAGTCACTTCAAGGATGCCATCCATCCATCTTGCCCTTGGTCGGCCCCTCTTCCTTTTGCCTTCCACTTGTATGTATATATGTATATATTTGTGTATATATGTATGTATATATTTGTGTATTTGTGTGTTTATATGTGTACATGCATATTGTGTATTTCTGTTTGCGTATATATGTGTGTGTGTGTATATATGTGTGTATATTTGTGTATTTGTGTTTATATGTGTACATTCATATTGTGTATATGTGTATATATGTTTGTGTATATATGTGTGATTGCTTATATATATGTGTGTGTGTATAACTGTATATAACTGTTTGCGTATATATATATATATGTGTGTGTGTGTGTATGCGTGTGTATATATATATGTGTGTGTATATTTGTGTGTTTATATGTGTTTGCGTATGTATATATATGTGTGTGTGTGTGTGTATTTGTGTGTTTATATGTGTACATGCGTATTGTGTATATGTGTGTATATATTTGTGTATTTGTGTGTTTGCATATATATGTGTGTGTGTGTATATATATATGTGTGTGTGTATATATTTGTGTATTTGTGTGTTTATATGTGTACATGCATATTGTGTGTATGTGTGTATATATTTGTGTATTTGTGTGTTTGCGTATATATATGTGTGTGTGTGTGTATTTGTGTATTTGTGTTTATATGTGTACATGCATATTGTGTATATGTGTGTATATATATGTGTGTATATATGAGTGTTTGCTTATATATATATGTGGGTGTATATATGTGTGTATATATTTGTGTGTTTATATGTGTACATGCATATTGTGTATCTGTGTGTATATATTTGTGTATATATGTGTGTTTGCTTATATATATGTGGGTATATATGTGTTTATATGTGTACATGCATATTGTGTATATGTGTGTATATATTTGTGTATTTGTGTGTTTGCATATATATGTGTGTGTGTGTGTGTGTGTATTTGTGTGTTTATATATGTACATGCATATTGTGTGTATGTGTGTATATATTTGTGTATAAATGTGTGTTTGCTTATATATATATGTGGGTATATATGTGTTTATATGTGTACATGCATATTGTGTATATGTGTGTATATATTTGTGTATATATATATGTGTGTGTGTGTATATTTGTGTATTTGTGTGTTTATATGTGTACAAGCATATTGTGTGTATGTGTGTATATATTTGTGTATATATGTGTGTTTGCTTATATGTGTGTGTGTGTATATCTGTGTATATATGTGTATTTGCTTATATATATGTGGGTATATATGTGTTTATATGTGAACATGCATATTGTGTATATGTGTGTATATATTTGTGTATTTTTGTGTATGCATATATATATATATGTGTGTATGTGTGTATATTTGTGTATTTGTGTGTTTATATTTGTACATGCATATTGTGTGTATGTGTGTGTATATTTGTGTATTTGTGTGTTTATATGTGTACATGCATATTGTGTGTATGTGTGTATATATTTGTGTATATATGTGTGTTTGCTTATATATGTGTGTGTATATCTGTGTATATATGTGTGTTTGCTTATATATATATATATATATATATATATATATATATATATATATGTGGGTATATATTTATGTGTTTATATGTGTACATGCATATTGTGTATATGTGTGTATATATTTGTGTATTTGTGTGTTTGCGTATATATATGTGTGTGTGTGTTTATATTTGTGTATTTGTGTGTTTATATGTGTACATGCATATTGTGTATATGTGTGTATATATTTGTGTAAGTATGTGTGTTTGCTTATATGTGTGTGGGTGTGTATATATGTATATATATTTGTGTGTTTATATGTGTACATGCATATTGTGTATATGTGCGTATATATTTGTGTATATATGTGTGTTTGCTTATATGTGTGTGTGCATATATCTGTGTATATATGTGTTTGCGTATATATATATATGTGTGTGTGTGTGTGTGTATATTTGTGTATTTGTGTGTTTATATGTGTACATGCATATTGTGTATATGTGCGTATATATTTGTGTATATATGTGTGTTTGCTTATATGTGTGTGTGCATATATCTGTGTATATATGTGTTTGCGTATATATATTATATATATATATGAGTGTTATATTTGTGTATTTGTGTGTTTATATGTGTACATGCATATTGTGTATATGTGTGTGCTTGTCTATATGCATATTTGTGTGTATATATGTATGTATGTGGATATATATGTGTGTGCATGTGTATTTGTGTATGTTTGTGCATATATATACCTGTTTCCAAGAAACAAGGATGAGAACTTGACTTGATTCCAAACGTTGCTTCATCTGACTACATATTCTGTACTTGAGACTTTTATCTCCTCATTAAGCTGTGTCCCAAACGCTCAGAAATTGGTTTCGCTTTAGCTTTGAGTCTGTTATCTTTCTCTCTCTGAGCCTGGCAGAACACCGAAGCCACTGTTCGGCTTTTCTGTTTTTACTAAATCTCCTCCCATCTATCTATTTGCTCATCAATTTCTGCCGCTGGGCCAGGTGCCGAGCTGTTTTCAAGCTCCAAATCATGGGAATTCTCTGGTTGCACGGGGATCTCCTGGTCATTCTCTGCATCAATATCATTGACCAGACCATTGCCATCTTGAAACTCATTGTCACCCGGACAAATGGGTTTCTAGGGGCAGTGAGTTCCACAGTTTAAAATTGAAATACAGTTCAGCATAGACCTTCCTGTTCTTTTCTACCCCGGGGAACAAGGAACCAAAGCACGTAATAAAACATGGTGTCTGTTTATTTTTAACGGTGTGTACACAGAAAAGAAAAACACGCACACGGAGGCCTAATCACGGCCTGAGATACTCTCTAAATTTATCCAGACATGATGTTCCGTGTTTGTCAGGCGGAAGAAAGAGGAAATTGATTCCAATCACAAATAATTAAAAGAAGGAATTAATCAGAGGTTGCTATGAGTTTTCTGGGCTGTTCCAGAAGCATTATCTCCTGACATTTCACCCACATCTATGGCAGGCATCCTCAGAGGTTGTGAGGTCTGTTGGAACTAGGAAAATGGGGTTTATATATCTGTGGGAGAAAGGGTTGTCTGTTGGAGGCAGGTGTTGAATGGCCTTGCAGCTGCAAAGTCAATCAGTGAGGGTATCTGCATAGAGATTTATTGGAAATGAAGCAAATAGACTGTATATATCCCTGTGGAATGATGTCCAGGGTGGGAGAAAGAACTCTTGTCTGTTGGAGGCAGGGGTTGAATGGCCTTGCAGCTGCAATGTCAATCAGTGAGGGTATCTGCATAGAGGTTTATTGGAATGAAACAAGTAGACTGTATATATCCCTGTGGAATGATGTCCAGGGTGGGAGAAAAAACTTTTGTCTGTTGGAGGCAGGTGTTGAATGGCCTTGCAGCTGCAATGTCAATCAGTGAGGGTATCTGCATAGAGATTTATTGGAATGAAACAAGTAGACTGTATATATCCCTGTGGAATGATGTCCAGGGTGGGAGAAAAAACTTTTGTCTGTTGGAGGCACGTGTTGAATGGCCTTGCAGCTGCAAAGTCAATCAGTGAGGGTATCTGCATAGAGATTTATTGGAAATGAAGCAAATAGACTGTATATATCCCTGTGGAATGATGTCCAGGGTGGGAGAAAGAACTCTTGTCTGTTGGAGGCAAGTGTGAATGATCCCATTGGCCAGTTTGATTAGCAGTAAATGGCCTTGCAGCTTCAAAGCCTGGCTGCTTCCTGCCTGAGGGAATCCTATATATCTGTGAAATGATGCCAAGAGTGGGAGAAAGAATTCTTGTCTGTTGGAGGCAAGGGTAAAAGTTGCCATTGGCCAACTTGATTAGTACTGAATGGACTTGCAGCTGCAAAGACTCGCTGCTTCCTGCCCGAGGGAATCCAATCAGTGAGGGTATCTGCATAGAGATTTATTGGAAATTAAGCAAGTAGGCTGTATTTATCCCTGTGGAATGATGTCCAGGGTGAGAGAAAGAACTCTTGTCTGTTGGAGGCAAGTGTGAATGATGCCATTGGCCACCTTGATTAGCATTGAATGGCCTTGCAATTTCAAAGTCAATCAGTGAGGGTATCTGCATAAGGGTCTGTTAGGAAATAGGCAAGTGAGGTGTCTATATCTGTGGAATAATGTCCAGGGTGGGAGAAAGAACTCTTGTCTGTTGGAGACAAGTGTGAGTGTTGCCATCGGCCACCTTGATTAGCATTGAATGGCCTTGCAGGTGCAAAGTCAATCAGTGAGGGTATTTGCATAGAAGTCGGTTGGAAATGAAGCAAGAGACTGTATATTTTCCTGCGGAATGATGTCCAGAACTCTGTGTGAATGTTGCCATCGGCCACCTTGATTAGTATTGAATGGCCTTGCAGAAAACAGGGGAATTCCTGGCAGGTAACAATCGGGGCCAGCTAACACTTCCCAACAAAGGATTCCCCCAAGCAGGAAGCAGCCAGACAAGAACTCTTTCTCCTACCCTGGACCTCATTCCACAGATATATAGACCCCACCGGCCTAGTTTCCAACAGACAACCTCTGAGGATGCCTGCCATAGATGTGGGCGAAACGTCAGGAGAGAGTGCTTCTGGAACAGGGCCAGAACTCACAGCAACTCACCTGGTTCTGTTTCCATTCCAAATATTGTACACAGAGTAGGATCAAAGGGTTCGCCTCTCGTAAAACTTGGAGGCCGGAAGCCAAGAAACAAAACTTATTGCGACCTTCAGACTTTACGGGCTGTTTTGCATCAACACTAAAGCCGTCAATGGCACGAACATTCCACCGGTCAGCAAAATAATACAGTAAATAAAGGACTCCACTCAGAAAGGGGAACCCCAGGCACCTCCCAAACTGAGGGTGCCTCCAGGCAACAGGGGCCAGGTTACCTCTATGCAGATACCCTCACTGATTGACTTTGCAGCTTCGTGTCTACTCAGTTCTATTCAAGCTTGCTCACTGCACCATCGACACTGGCTTTTAATAGACAAGGGTTTGTTCTCCCACCCTGGACATTCCACAGATACATATATATACATTTCATTTGCTACCTCAATGCACATACCCTCACTGATTGACTTTGCAGCTGCATGGCTACTCAATGCCACTCAGACTTGCTTGTTGCAACATCCACACTTGCTTCAATCAGACAAGGGTTCATCCTCCCACCCTGGACATCATTCCACAAATATATGTATAGACACTTCGCTTGCTACCTCTATGCAGATACCCTCAGTGGTTGACTTTGCAGCTGCATGACTACTCAATATTATTCAAACTTGCTCAGTACAGCACACACGCTTCAAGAGAGTAAATTATTATTATTATTATTATTATTATTATTATTATTGCACTCCACTTGCGACATCTATGTAGATGCCCTCACTAATTGACTTTGCAGCTTCATGGCTACTCAATGCTATTCAAACTTGCTCAATGCAGCACACACACTTCAAGAGAGTAAATTATTATTATTATTATTATTATTATTATTATTACACTCCACTTGCAATATTTATGCAGATACCCTCACTGATTGACTTTGCAGCTGCATGGCTGCTCAATATTATTCAAACTTGCTCAATACAGCACACACACTTCAAGAGAGTAAATTATTATTATTATTATTATTACTGCACTCCACTTGCGACATCTATGCAGATACCCTCACTAATTGACTTTGTAGCTGCATGGCTACTCAATGCTATTCAAACTTCTTCAATGCAGCACACACACTTCAAGAGAGTAAATTAATAATAATAATAATATACTTCACTTGCGACATCTATGCAGATACCCTCACTGACTGACTTTGCCGCTTCGTGTCTACTCAGTGCTATTCAAGCTTGCTCACTGCAACATCCAAACTGGCTTTTAATAGACAAGGATTTGTTTTCCCACCCTGGACATTCCACAGATAGATAGAGTGAGTTTGCTACCTCTATGCAGATATCCTCACTGATTGACTTTGCAGCTGCAAAACGACTCAATGCTATTCAGGCTTGCCCATTGCAACATACACACTTGCTTCAAACAGACAAGGGTTCATCCTCCCACCCTGGACATCATTCCACAGGTATATCTACACTCCACTTGCAACCTCTATGCAGATACCCTCACAGATTGACTTTGCAGCTGCATGGCTACTCAATGCTATTCAAGTTTGCATATTGCAACATCCACACTTGCTTCAACAGACAATGGTTTGTCCTCCCACTCCAGACATTCCACAGTATATATACATTCCACTTGCGACCTCTATGCAGATACCCTCACAGATTGACTTTGCAGCTTCATGTCTGCTCAGTGCTATTCAAGCTTGTTGATTGCAACATCCACACTGGTTTTTAATAGACAAGGGTTTGTTCTCCCACCCTGGACATTCCACAGATATATGTATATACACTTCGTTTGCTACCTCTATGCAGATACCCTCACTGATTGACTTTGCAGCTGCATGGCTACTCAATGCTATTCAAGCTTGCTCAATGCAGCACACACACTTCAAGAGAGTATATAATGAAACAGGAGAACTCCAGACAGCAAACAATCAAATGCCAGTTAACACCTCCCAAATAGAGGGTGCCTCCAGGCAACAGAGGACAGGTTACTTCTATGCAGATAGCCTCACCGATTGACTTTGCAGCTTCATGGCTACTCAATGCCAGTCAAGCTTGCTAATTGCAACATTCATACTTGCTTTACACAGATAACTTTTCTTTTTCCCAAAGATAGATAGATAGATAGATAGATAGACACACACACTCCACTTGCCTTACTTCCAACAGACTTCTCGCAGATGCAGGTGAAATGTCAGGAGAGAATGCTACTGGAACATGGCCATATAGCCAGAAAAACTCCCAGCATCCCAATAAAATTGTTGTTGTTGTTGTCGTTGTTGTTGTTACCTCAAAGGATGCAACAATGAACCAGTGTCCTTCGAAACTTTGCCCTGGAACGTGGTTTGGGGCTTGGGTCCCTTCCAACTGTGATCCTACCCAAATGCCTTCAAGTTCCATGTTTCTTTTGGGGTCACATTGGCATTTCTACCCCTGATATCCTCTCAACCTCACGTTCTTTGGAGTCCTGGAATCCAGAGAAGGTCGGGAAACCCTACTGTTCGCTTGGACTCCTGCAGCTCAAAGGCAGGACCACGACTTCCTCCAGCATCCGGTGAGAAGAGAAGTACGCGTGGACAATGTAGAAGGCCTTCCTCAGAGAGACCACCTCGAACTTGACTAGGAACTTGACTTGTATTCTCACCAGAGACACAACAAAGGAGGAACTTCGGGAGCAGCAGGTAGGACGTCAGTATGACCACTACTGGGACCATGAAGGTGAAGACCACCCTCTGGAGTTGGTAGACATTCTCACCAGAGACACGACGGACTTGGAGGAACCCCAGGAGGAGCAGGTAGGAAGTCAAGATGACCACTAATGGAGCAGGTAGGAGGTCAAGATGGGACCACAAAGGTGAAGACCACCCTCTGGAGTTTGTAGACACCCAACCCCTGATATCCTCTCAACCTCACGTTCCTTGGAGTCCTGGGATCAAGAGAAGGTCGAGAAACCCTTCTTCTGTTCGCTTTGACTCCTGTGGTCCAAAACCAGGACCACAACTTCCTCCAGCGTTCAGTGAGAAGTAGGTGTGGACAATGTAAGAAGCTTTCCTCAGAGAGACCACCTCGAACTTGACTAGGAACTTGACTTGTATTCTCACCAGAGACACAACAAAGGAGGAACTTCGGGAGGAGCAGGTAGGAGGTCAAGATGACCACTAATGGGACTATGAAAGTGAAGACCAAGCTCTGGGGTTGGTAGACGTTCTCACCAAAGACACGACGGACTTGGAGGAACCCCAGGAGGAGCAGGTAGGAAGTCAAGATGACCACTAATGGGACCATTAAGACCATCCTCTGGAGTTTGTAGACACCCAACCCCTGGTATCCTCTCAACCTCACTTTCCTTGGAGTCCTGGGATCCAGAGAAGGTTGGGAAACCCTACTGTTCGCTTGGACTCTTGCGGCTCAAGGGCAGGACCACACCTTCCTCCAGCATCCAGTGAGAAGAGAAGTACGTGTGGACAACGTAGAAGGTCTTCCTCAGAGAGACCACCTCAAACTTGACTAGGAACTTGACTTGCGTTCTCACCAAAGACACGACGGGCTTGGAAGAACCTCAGGAGGAGCAGGTAGGAGGTTAAGATGACCACTAATGGGACCATGAAAGTGAAGACCACCCTCTGGAGTTGGTAGACGTTCTCACCAGAGACACGACGGACTTGGAGGAACCTCAGGAGGAGCAGGTAGGAAGTCAAGATGACCACTAATGGGACCATGAAGACCACCCTCTGGAGTTTGTAGACACCCAACCCCTGGTATCCTCTCAACCTCACGTTCCTTGGAGTCCTGGGATGCAGAGAAGGTCAGGAAACCCTTCTTCTGTTTGCTTTGACTCCTGTGGCCCAAAACCAGGACCACAACTTCCTCCAGCGTTCAGTGAGAAGTAGGTTTGGACAATGTAGGAGGCCTTCCTCAGAGAAACCACCTTGAACTTGACTAGGAACTTGACTTGCGTTCTCACCAGAGACACGACAAAGAAGGAACTTCAGGAGCAGCAGGTAGGATGTCAAGATGGCCACTAATGGGACCATGAAGGTGAAGACCATCCTCTGGAGTTGATAGATGCCCAACCCCTGATATCCTTTCAACCTCACGTTCCTTGGAGTCCTGGGATCCAGAGAAGGTTGGGAAACCCTACTGTTCGATTGGACTCCTGTGGCTCAAGGGCAGGACCACGACTTCCTCCAGCGTCCGGTGAGAAGAGAAGTACTGGTAGTTCGCCACGGAGGAGGAGAACCTCCGGAAGGTGTCTTTGAGGGCTTCCCGGAACTCATGACGCATCAGGCAGTATAGAACCGGGTTGAGGCAACTGCTGGTGTGAGCCAAGCAAGTGGAGATGGGGAAAAAGTACGTGTGGACGACGTAGAAGGCCTTCCCCAGAGAGACCACCTCGAACTTGATTAGGATGCCCCAAAAGGTCACGGCGTGGTTGGGGAACCAGCAGACGAAGAAGCACCCCACCACTAAGCCGACCGTAGCCATGACTTGTTTCCGCCTCTTTGAGTTCTCACTGGAGACACGGTGGACGTGGAGGAACCTCAGGAGGAGCAGGTAGGAGGTCAAGATGACCACTAATGGCACCACGAAGGTGAAGACCACCCTCTGGAGTTGGTAGGCGCCCAACCAAGACGGCGACGGGAACTTGAAAACGCAGATTTCCACCCCAAGGACGTCCACCACAGTGGTGTAGATCATGGTCGGAATGGTGGCTCCCATGGCTAAGACCCAAAGAGCCAACGTTGTCCACTTGGCCACACTCATTGTGATTCTGGAACCATCCTTGATGGCTGAAGCCACCAACTGGTAGCGAGCGACACTCATGGCCGTGAGCAAGAAGACGTTGGTGTAGATACTGAGGACGGTCATCGATGGGACTATCTTGCATAAGGTTATGCCAAAGGGCCAGCTGAAGTCCAGCGCCATCTCGGTTGCCCAAAAGGGAAGGGTCAAGGAGAACTGGAAGTCGGCCGCCGCCAAGCCAAAGACGAAGATATTAATGGTCGGCGCGGGGCGGATCTTCTGGGCTCGGATTAAGTACATCACCAACGCGTTTCCCAACAGCCCCATGGCACAGACCAACGCATAGACCACAACGATGGTCTTCCGCAAGCCAAAGGCAACGTCAGAAGGCATCTGAAGGTCTTCATCCTCATTGAAGGCACCAACCGAGGACCAATTCCAAACGCTGCGGTCAAGGGAGGTCTGGTTCTTGAGTTCCAGATCCCTCCTGGCCTCCATCTTCTCCAAAAGATACTTTGGTTTGGACCACGTTGTCCGCTGGATCACCAAAAGGAATGCTCCTCCATGGGTGGTGGCCTCCCAGATGATGCTTCTCCCTTGGCTTTTCGTTCTCTTCCACTTCTCCAGGTCTTCCTTTGAGAAAGGAAGGGAAGATCTAACCTGCCAAGGGAAGGCTGGAACTTGCCCCAAGACCAAGGACAACCCCTGTTTATGACCACTGGGCAGGGCACGGTCGGTGGCCCGTCTTCTTCTCTGGGAGGAGGAAGGAAGGAGGAGGAAGCCCGGCCTTCGCTCTCTGGACTTTTACGGGGATTCTTATCTTTGATTGCGTGCTGAGATTTGTGTAAACAGTCAGGAAGGTGGAGGGAGCCTCAAGTCTGACCCGGTGATTATTTAAGATTATTATGTTTATTATTGTATTGTCGAAGGCTTTCATGGCCAGAATCACTGGGTTGTTGTGGGTTTTTTCAGGCTATATGGCCAAATGTGAACACTGGTGGAGTTTGGAGAAAATAGACCTTGACATTTGGGATTTGTCGTTACTGGGATTTATAGTTCACCTACAATCAAACCCCATCAATGATAGAATTGGGGCAAACTTCCCACACAGAACCCCCATGACCAACAGAAAATACTTAAGGCCATCCAGTCCTCCCTTCATCGGGGCAAGAAAATGTAATCAAAGCCCTCCTGACAGAGAGCCATCCAGCCATAGAGATAGAGGGATAGATAAGATCCACACACACACACAGATATAGTATCATAGATTTGAAAGGGACCCCCCAAAGAAGGACAATTATTGTATATACTCGAGTATAAGCCTAGTCTATATAAATAAAAATGTAATGTTCATTTGTGTGATTAACATAACTCAAAACCCATTGGACAAATTGACACCACATTTGAATACAAGACACCTCTCAGGCCAAAGAGTGACCATCACCCCTAAACACACACACACACACACACACACACAACCCCAGCAGAACAGACTTAAAACCCCCAGAAATACACAATATATACATATACACATACACTAATATACACATGCACACATTCATACACACATACGTATATATATATATATACACACAAACACACACAAATATATACACACATATACATATAAATATACATATATACATAGAGACATGCATACACATATACAGATACATATACACATATATACAAGAATATGCATATAAATAAGCACATACATATACACAATATGCATGTACACATATAAACACACAAATATATACACACATATACATATAAATATACATATATACATAGACACATGCATACACATATACAGATACATATACACATATATACAAGAATATGCACATAAATAAGCATACACATATATACAAGAATATGCATATAAATAAGCACATACAAATACACAATATGCATGTACACATATAAACACACAAATATATACACACATATACATATAAATATACATATATACATAGACACATGCATACACATATACATATACAGATACACATATATACAAGAATATGCATATAAATAAGCACATACAAATACACATATACAGATACATATACACATATATACAAGAATATGCATATAAATAAGCACATACATATACACAATATGCATGTACACATATAAACACACAAATATATACACACATATACATATAAATATACATATATACATAGACACATGCATACACATATACAGATACATATACACATATATACAAGAATATGCACATAAATAAGCACATACATATACACAATATGCATGTACACATATAAACACACAAATATATACACACATATACATATAAATATACATATATACATAGACACATGCATACACATATACAGATACAGATACACATATATACAAGAATATGCATATAAATAAGCACATACAAATACACAATATGCATGTACACATATAAACACACAAATATATACACACATATACATATAAATATACATATATACATAGACACATGCATACACATATACAGATACATATACACATATATACAAGAATATGCATATAAATAAGCACATACAAATACACAATATGCATGTACACATATAAACACACAAATATATACACACATATACATATAAATATACATATATACATAGACACATGCATACACATATACAGATACAGATACACATATATACAAGAATATGCATATAAATAAGCACATACAAATACACAATATGCATGTACACATATAAACACACAAATATATACACACATATACATATAAATATACATATATACATAGACACATGCATACACATATACAGATACATATACACATATATACAAGAATATGCATATAAATAAGCACATACAAATACACAATATGCATGTACACATATAAACACACAAATATATACACACATATACATATAAATATACATATATACATAGACACATGCATACACATATACAGATACATATACACATATATACAAGAATATGCATATAAATAAGCACATACAAATACACAATATGCATGTACACATATAAACACACAAATATATACACACATATACATATAAATATACATATATACATAGACACATGCATACACATATACAGATACATATACACATATATACAAGAATATGCACATAAATAAGCACAAACATATACACAATATGCATGTACACATATAAACACACAAATATATACACACATATACATATAAATATACATATATACATAGACACACGCATACACATATACAGATACATATACACATATATACAAGAATATGCATATAAATAAGCACATACATATACACAATATGCATGTACACATATAAACACACAAATATATACACACATATACATATAAATATACATATATACATAGACACATGCATACACATATACAGATACATATACACATATATACAAGAATATGCACATAAATAAGCACATACATATACACAATATGCATGTACACATATAAACACACAAATATATACACACATATACATATAAATATACATATATACATAGACACACGCATACACATATACAGATACATATACACATATATACAAGAATATGCATATAAATAAGCACATACAAATACACAATATGCATGTACACATATAAACACACAAATATATACACACATATCTACATGCATGCACACATATTCATATACACATACATACACACATATACACACATATGCAGATAGACAAGCACACACATATACACAATATGCATGTACACATATAAACACACCAATACACAAATATACACACACATATATATACACACACACACCCCACATATATATATATACACAAACACACATATATACACAGATATATACACACACATAAACACATACAAAACATATACACAGACGGGGCCACAGCAACGTGTGGCAGGGGACGGCTAGTCATATAATAAAATACCAATAATACCACCATAACAAAGTAATATAATGTAATATCACATACTATAATATTATAAGAATGTACGAATAATAGCATTATGACAATGTAATATAACGTAACGTAATGTAATATAATAATATTATAATAATATACCAAGAATAGCACTATAACAATGTAACATAATAATAATAATAATAATAATAATAATAATAATAATAATATACCAATCATAATAAGACTGTAACCATATGGTGGGTAAGAATTTCTGAGCAACCCGGAAACTCCCTCTCCGATTGAGGGTGATGGTTGTCTACTATTTTTTGGCTAGCTCTATGTTTCCTTGGGCATTTCTGGGAAAGAATTTCTGAGCAACCCGGAAACTCCCTCTCAGATTGAGGGTGATGGTTGTCTACTATTTTTTGGCTAGCTCTATGTTTCCTTGGGCATTTCTGGGAAAGGATTTCTGAGCAACCCGGAAACTCCCGCTCCGATTGAGGGTGATGGTTGTCTACTTTTTTTGGCTAGCTCTATGTTTCCTTGGGCATTTCTGGGAAAGGATTTCCGAGCAACCCGGAAACTCCCTCTCCGATTGAGGGTGATGGTTGTCTACTATTTTTTGGCTAGCTCTATGTTTCCTTGGGCATTTCTGGGTAAGAATTTCTGAGCAACCCGGAAACTCTCTCTCCGATTGAGGGTGATGGTTGTCTACTATTTTTTGGCTAGCTCTATGTTTCCTTGGGCATTTCTGGGTAAGAATTTCCGAGCAACCCGGAAACTCTCTCTCCGATTGAGGGTGATGGTTGTCTACTATTTTTTTGGCTAGCTCTATGTTTCCTTGGGCATTTCTGTGAAAGGATTTCTGAGCAACCCGGAAACTCCCTCTCCGATTGAGGGTGATGGTTGTCTACTATTATTTGGCTAGCTCTATGTTTCCTTGGGCATTTCTGGGTAAGAATTTCTGAGCAACCCGGAAACTCTCTCTCCGATTGAGGGTGATGGTTGTCTACTATTTTTTGGCTAGCTCTATGTTTCCTTGGGCATTTCTGGGAAAGGATTTCCGAGCAACCCGGAAACTCTCTCTCCGATTGAGGGTGATGGTTGTCTACTATTTTTTGGCTAGCTCTATGTTTCCTTGGGCATTTCTGGGTAAGAATTTCTGAGCAACCCGGAAACTCTCTCTCCGATTGAGGGTGATGGTTGTCTACTATTTTTTTGGCTAGCTCTATGTTTCCTTGGGCATTTCTGGGTAAGAATTTCTGAGCAACCCGGAAACTCTCTCTCCGATTGAGGGTGATGGTTGTCTACTATTTTTTGGCTAGCTCTATGTTTCCTTGGGCATTTCTGGGTAAGAATTTCCGAGCAACCCGGAAACTCTCTCTCCGATTGAGGGTGATGGTTGTCTACTATTTTTTGGCTAGCTCTATGTTTCCTTGGGCATTTCTGGGTAAGAATTTCTGAGCAACCCGGAAACTCTCTCTCCGATTGAGGGTGATGGTTGTCTACTATTTTTTTGGCTAGCTCTATGTTTCCTTGGGCATTTCTGGGTAAGAATTTCTGAGCAACCCGGAAA